TTGTCTATTATCTTTTGACCTGGACCAAAACCAAAGTCACAACCCTTTCAAAATCGGCGGTTGCAACCATAGTTGTCTATTATCTTTTGACCTGGGCCAAAACCAACATCACAACGCTTTCAAAATCGGCGGTGGCAACCACAATATTGTTTTCTTTTTTGATCTGGGCCAAACCCAACGTCACAACGCTTTCAAAATCGGCACAAATACTGATAGCATTCTTCTATTTTATTACCTCTGTAAAATCAAAATCAAAATAATAAAAATTCAGCACTCAAAAATCACACATTATATTTTACTATACTTGTAGTGTCATATATCACCATTTTCATAAGTACACTTCGTATTTTCATATATTTTGAAATATCTTGTTCTGGACCAACGTTTCATTACCTAACACAAAGTCTCATTGTTTCAATCTCTCTTAATCAGTACGCACCATAATTCTCAGCACTATAATATATATATAAATTATTTCTTTCGCACCATAATTCTCAGCACTTCAATATACATATAAATTATTTGTTACACATCATACAATATAAAAAAAATAAACTATTTCTCATACACCACCCCCTTCTATTCCACTGCCCCCCAACTTTTAACATAATACAAATACTCTATCACTAAAACATTCTTATTCCTTTTTATAATAAAATTACTATCACACCAAACTCTTCTTATTCTTGTGTCTTTCACTTTAGTCAAATAAACTCGGTCTCTTTTCTACCCACATATATTAATTATCTTAATGTATTTATTTATTTTTTCTTTTTTTTCTTTTTTTTCTTTTCTTTATATAGATTTATATGTATACTATCTAAGATTTCTATTTGTAATTGACAACAAAATTATAGAAGAAAGATAGAATAAGAGCTGGTTCTATATGTATAGTCTAAAACTCAAGCTCAATCAGTCATATCTTTCCTAGTTTTTGTCATATTATTAAGGTTTATTTTTTATATCCACACACTAGTATGTTTAGTAAAACTGGAAAAAAGAACGTTCAGTTTAAATTGTGTAACGTTACATTTTTTCAGACGTATAAGTATGTTGTAAGTTTTAATTCCAGACACCTCGAATTTTACATGGTTTCTTATGAAAATGAAAAATATACTTTTTTCTGCCATTTTTTAGACTAATACAGTGCAGCAGCTATCAGAACTACAAGTTTCCTTTTTTATTTTGAAGAACCTTATTTTTTAACATATAAACCATTAGTAGAAATCGTACTTTCTACTTATAAAAAAATAATTTAAATACTTTACAACTCAAACTGAATGCTATATTTAGTAATATAGTATATACTTAGTAATGACATACAAGATATTATCTCTAAAACGTTTTCATGTATTATAGTTCAAAATTTATTTATTTTTATTTTATTTATCAATTTATTTTATTTTAATATTATTCAAAAAATAAATGTAACATATATAAATATATATATAATCTATATATAGTCTATATATATAGACTCTAGCGTATACGTTTGAGAAACAAACCCATATATATTTGATCTAGAAATAATTGGTGCGAAGATAAAAGTCGATGTGATAAATCAATAAAAGTAAATTTCGATTCAAGAGTAAAACCAAGTCGGTAGCATATATAAAATTATATAATTGACAATAATAAAATCCAATTGAAACAAGATATAAATTTATTTCGGGTGCAAAACTAAAATCAGGTTGGGATTATATATAAAATTATATTGAGTACAAGAATAAAACAAATTAGGATCAGGTATGAGGTTATTTCGAGTATAAAAATAAAACCAAATCTGGATTAAAATAAAAAAAACCCCAAATCGGGATTATATATAAAATCATATCGAGTGCAAGAGCAAAAGCAAATAGGGTCAGAAATAGAGTCATTCTGGGTGCAATAATAAAACCAAATTGGAATTATATATAAAATCATATCGAGTGCAAGAGCAAAAGCAAATAGAATTAGAAATACAATCATTCTGAGTGCAATAGCAAAATCAAATTGGTATCATATATAAAGTCCTACAAATCCGAACTATGGGCTACCAAACAATATATAACTCCATATATGTTTATGAGTATATGAATCTATATAGTAATAATCATTAGATTTATTTTATTTGTGATCTTTAAAAGATATAAAACTGTTTAGATCCATAATCACTATTCTATAATTGCATATAACAATTTCTTATTACAAAATACCAAACACTCTGTACTCAAAAACTAAGAACCCTATAGAACAATATTAGCAAGCTACTTGAAAATAGACTGTGGACACAAACCCAAAGCTGTTCTAGAACTATATATATTGCCATTGTATTTTGGGTGCACTACTATATATATACTCTTATTCAACACCCACGGATCCACCCACATATTATAAGCTACTATAAATTTTTATATATACTATTGTTAATTTATAATAGGCATGCTGTCATATATATATATATACTCCTATTCAACATATACACGAACACACATACACTCATATACACCCATATACACCAAAACTTACTATACAACCAAGCATGACCAATTGAAAATGAGACTTTCAAGCATATAGTGGTGTCAAAACCGTCTGGTCCGCACCCAATAGTCTCCAAAACCGTCTGGTCCGCACCCAATAGTCTTCAAAACCGTCTGGTCCGCACCCAATAGTCTCAAAACCGTCTGGTCCGCACCCAATAGTGTCCAGGCAGAACTGTATACAAAACCAGTCTTTACTGTGACGCGCCCAAAACAAAAAAAAATCTTTTCAACAACGCTTCGAATAAACTGGTTACGTCCCCTCATTCGGTTTGGGGATCGGCATTCCTCTATACATCCCGTCATTCATTTGGCTAATTGCGATTCCTCTATACATCTCGTCATCCTTTTCACGAATCGGCATCCATAGAATATTGCAACTCACAATAGGCCGAACTCGGAACAATACGAAAAAAGAGCATATTATTTTGTAAAAAAAAACACCACCCAAACACTCTTTATTTTTTCTTTTCTGCGCGCGTTCACTGTATATACGACTCTGAAAATAAAACAAACCCTCATTCAAACCTTTGTGTCCCTATCAACGCCACAATGCTTTCGAAATCGACGGGAGCAACCACAGCATCGTTTTCTTTTTTAATCTGGGTCAACACCATTATTACAACGCTTTCGAAATCGACGGGAGCAACCACACTATTGTTTTCTTTTTTTAATCTGGGTCAACACCATTATTACAACGCTTTCGAAATCGACAGGAGCAACCACAGCATCGTTTTCTTTTTTAACCTGAGCCAACACCAACGCCACAACACTTTCGAAATCGACGGGAGCAACCACACTATCCTTTTCTTTTTTTAACCTGGGTCAACACCATTATTACAACGCTTTCGAAATCGACAGGAGCAACCATAGTTGTCTATTATCTTTTGACCTGGACCAAAACCAAAGTCACAACCCTTTCAAAATCGGCGGTTGCAACCATAGTTGTCTATTATCTTTTGACCTGGGCCAAAACCAACATCACAACGCTTTCAAAATCGGCGGTGGCAACCACAATATTGTTTTCTTTTTTGATCTGGGCCAAACCCAACGTCACAACGCTTTCAAAATCGGCACAAATACTGATAGCATTCTTCTATTTTATTACCTCTGTAAAATCAAAATCAAAATAATAAAAATTCAGCACTCAAAAATCACACATTATATTTTACTATACTTGTAGTGTCATATATCACCATTTTCATAAGTACACTTCGTATTTTCATATATTTTGAAATATCTTGTTCTGGACCAACGTTTCATTACCTAACACAAAGTCTCATTGTTTCAATCTCTCTTAATCAGTACGCACCATAATTCTCAGCACTATAATATATATATAAATTATTTCTTTCGCACCATAATTCTCAGCACTTCAATATACATATAAATTATTTGTTACACATCATACAATATAAAAAAAATAAACTATTTCTCATACACCACCCCCTTCTATTCCACTGCCCCCCAACTTTTAACATAATACAAATACTCTATCACTAAAACATTCTTATTCCTTTTTATAATAAAATTACTATCACACCAAACTCTTCTTATTCTTGTGTCTTTCACTTTAGTCAAATAAACTCGGTCTCTTTTCTACCCACATATATTAATTATCTTAATGTATTTATTTATTTTTATATAGATAGTTCTCATTTCTTTTAGATAAGCAGTATCTATTGCTATATTTTAAGATCTTAAATAGCACAAGACTAATATGTTGTGATACATGTCTGAGTATAAGGTCTGAGTATAATCATATATTCTATTATAATTTTCAATTGGGGCTGGCGTACAATTTATATTTGTGTTTATTTTGATATGACAAAATATTATATAAAAGCTAAATATTTGTATGGCTATATAATAGATCATTATTTTGATTTTGAGTTTTTTTAAATAGGCTAATTGTTATAGTTTGAGTACAAACGTTATTTTTATAATAGTCTATATATATATGATAGAGGCTTTAATACATGCCTACAGCATGTATCTCCAAAGTCTCCGAAGGCTATTAAGGGGCTTCTCAAGCACCTGACAAGACCCAAAAGTTTGTTTAGGATTATCTTATACAGATTGGCCAGAGTTTCCAAAATTAGTAATCATGGACAAAACTTGGTCTACAATTACTAATTTTGGAAACTCTGGCCAATCCGTATAAGATAATCCTAAACAAACTTTTGGGTCTTGTTGGGCGCTTGAGAAGCCCCTTAGAGACATTAATAGCACATAAGAAGTGTATTTATAAAATCTTACCAACTTTAAACTGGAGATATTCTTGTTAATATCTTACTTTGGCTTTTATATGTTCTAAACATTTTTTTTTTCATTTCACATCTTATATTTACATTAGAATTAAGCAAAACATAATCAAGTAAGTAACTATAATATAAGTTTATTAGATGTAATTCATTTTCTAATTATTCTCTTTTAATATTCAATGGTAAATATTTTTTAAGAAGCAAATGTTTACATTGATATAAATATATGAATTACTTGGAAACAACTTTAATTGAAATGAAAGGATAACTACCAGAATTACATGCTAATTTTAATATTTGACATATACCTACTATGCTTGATACATACGTAGATATAAGTGATTGAAGTAAACGAGTTTATTCTAATATTTGACAATAAAATATAAAATAAAATTTGATGGTTTTTGCATTGAAGTATTTAATTTTGACTTTTTAGTTTTTATGAATATATAATATATATTATTGAGTTCAATAAAAGCGATACATTTAATTTGAGACATAGTTAAATACTATGTGAGATAAATAAATAATATAAAATGAATAAATTGTTTTTGTAAGAGTATTATTTATTTTTTAAAGAATATCACATGTACTTACAATAATTAATATATGATTAATAATTATATAAATGTGTGTATTCGCAATGAAGTATTAACATAGAAATATAATGTATCTGTGAGTTATAATTATACGGTTTATATTTTGTTAATGTACCTCTTATTATGATTATATCATCATATAAAATTCAATCACTCATGTACATGAAAAATCGGTGTGTCAGATAATATAGTAACGTATAGACACCTTTGGCTGGAATAAATATGAATATATGTTTTATTCTTTCAGTTTTAATTGTAACTACAGTAGTAGTCAATTCGTTTTTACAATATTGATGTATTATAATAATCAATTTATTTAAATCGCATTAATAATGTCTTCTATAATTTTGATGGAAATAAAATAAATATCAAAGATAATTAAATAAATATAGTCTATGTACTTACTTATAAAACAAATATATAAAAATGATTGAATTTAATAAAATAAAAATAAGAATTATATCATCCTTTTAGCTTTTATTTTCGTTATTACTATTCATTATTTTATTGACCTTTATTATAAGCATACGTTTTTATAATTTATAAAATATACCATGTTTATAATAGTTTAAATAGAATGCTTTCTAGTTTTTAATAAGTTATATGTTTTTTTTATATATTAATATTTCATTGTTTTATTTTTCAATAAATCCTGATATTCCAACATCAACTAAAAATATTAAATTCATAGTTGATAAGATTTTTACTGTTTATTATATTTCAGCTAAATTTATATCAAAATCTTATATAAATCAAGAAAATATATATATTTTATTAAACCTGAAAAGATACAGCTGTAATAATAAAGATATATTTTGTTCTCGGTCTATTTTTATAATTCCCAATCAGAAAGCATATTGCCACAAATGACATTTCATATCAAATCCATGCCTGATAAAATGATATACGTTCTGTCTTTCAATACTACTTAAATGGAGACTAAAAACATCACTTTCCCACTGAAGGAGTAATGGTCGGATTTTCATTTTCGAGCTAATTCACACTCCGAAAGTTCGATATAATTAAAAGCCCGCCGCCTCTCTTAGCCCATTCGTTTTTTATTGTCTCTAGCTCTTTAATGCACTTGCTTTCAGCAAAAACGAATTACTAGAATGCAAGATAATTAAACATTTGGTTGAATTATGTAAAATACAAAAGATATAAATTTGGGTCAATTCAAACTGCGATTATAATTTATTTGTTTTTGGACTTTGTGGTACTTTTTTTTAGACTTGTGCCATTTACCAGCGTACGAGGGAATTGAAAGAAAAATTACTTTTCATAGTAATTTATTCAATTCCGAATGGATATATTTTTCAATTCCCTTGACAATAACATGGTCAAAAACACCATGTAATTATCGAGGGAATTGACAAAATTTCTAAAATAAGAACTCTAGTTACAAAAAAGAATATACTAAATGACCATACTTTAAAAAGCTCATTCTATATAGCCAAAATGAAACAAATCATTAACAAAAAAATAAAAATTGGCAGGGTATTTTAGTAAATATTTAAAAAACAGATGCTGAATAACAATTGGAATTGTATATGACGTGGCTCAATTCCTGCGACACAATTCCCTCGATGCAATTCTCTCAGTGCAATTCCCTCAACAATTCTCTTGTACACTGGTGAATGGCAAAAGTGACGCAATACAAAAAGACAGTGTACTATCTCAAACAAAGACACCTTTTGCTTTTATTTGTTTTTATTTGTTTTTATATCTCAGATTATACGCGACTCCTACAAAAAACTAAACAATCATTTGAACCTCTCTGCCTACATCAATGTTGCAAAACTACTGGAATCGATACCAGCAACCATAGTATTCTTTTCTTTTCTTTCTTTTTCTGTTTTTTTTTGTAATGTGTATCTGTGATAATGTATTTAAAGACGAAGAAGCTAGAGAAGAGCCAAAGCTAATTCAGCTTCGAACTTTGTAATGTCTGATGTAGATGGAGTTGCTATACGATTAAGGACAAATACAACATTAAGCATAAGTTGGAAGTGGCCGCTCGATATGGATATCTAGTATGACAATGGCTATCATGATTCAGAGTATGTATAACATGTTAGTTTAAATAAATAGTGAATATAGTGTCTAATTCAGGGAATATTCTCTGAGTGGCAATGATGGCAAGAATAGCTTGGTGAGTAGTTATATACATATGCATATTTTATTCTCAATTGTTGATATCCCATTGATTTAGACATTAGAGCTTCAATAGTGATAGTGATAGCTATAATGATTGGATATTAGAGTTTGAATGGGATATGTTTCGTAACACGTATTAGCCTGAGAATATATCTAGAGGTCTGCAATATAAAATGCAGTGGATAATCTAGTAGCTGAATTAAATACACCCAAAGCTAACAAATAAGCTAAATTATACCTAGTTGCTAATAGTGTTAATTGTTTCAGATAACAAGCAGTGACAACGTTATGTCAGTGTTATGGGACTCTTTGCAGTCACGGGACAAGTACCAAACGTGAGTACATTAAGACCAAGCTGTAGTTAAAAGAGGCAGTAATTAAATGTTTAGAGAGTCTTGCTCATCTCTATCCTATGAGGAAAAGTGGAATCTCAATCCTTGTCTTGACTGTGAGTACTAGACAAAAACAAATTTTAAATAGCATTGTATATGTTTAGTATATAATGGAGGCAAAAATTTGATCTCTGAAATTAATTGGAAATACTGAAATTAAAACATTAATAAAAAAAGATTTATGAAAAACTTGTATTTCTTTAAGCAGTGATGGAGAGCACAAATATGTTACTTGATCCTTGATAGCATATACATGAAACAAGTATGGGTGTTGGTAATTTGCTCAAAAGCCTTTTATATATGTGGCCTTCTTAAAAGATTATAATGGTAATTCTTTGGTGTCAGCTAGATATATACTCATAATATAAATTGTACAGGACAATCCGAAATCGATATATACCTATAACCCATATCTAAAGCAAAAATATTAGTGTTTAGCATGAAATACGACTGCAAAATCCTGTTGAAACAGTATCAAGTAGTTATTAAAACAAATATATATACATGTATATACTGTTCGAGCCCAAAATCTTGATCATTGTGTTTGTCTGTTTAAAACAATATATAAAAATAATCTGTAGTAATATATATTCAAAGAAACTTGTATATCTGTAATCCATGATGTAGATTTTTGATAGTTGGGGTAGACTAAAAAAAACTGGACGAATTCAATTGGTAGAGAGTAAATGTTCAAGGATACTTGTATATGTGCAATACTATAGGAAGAGTGGAACCTTGGCCATTGGTCCTAATTGTGAAAAGTCTATTGAAATACAGTTGATACAAAGTAAAGATCCAAAGAGACCTGTATACCTGAGACTCTGGATGAAGATCAAAGCCTTGATCAGTTGCACAGACAGTGAAAATGGTAAACAAATTTAACTGATCGAGAGTAATTTCTCAAATATACATGTATACCTTAAACCTTGTATGTAAAGCAGAAAATTGATAGTTTGGCTTTAACTATGTAAATACTAGAGAAATATAATTAATATTAAGGTGATATTTAAAGAGTTTTGTAAACTTGTGAACGTTGATAGTAAATGAAACCTTGATCGTTCATCTTTGCTCTGAAAAGTATAGAAAAATACAGTATGTAGTAACTAAAGGCTCGAAGAGACTTGTATATCTGTGGCCGTGGTAGAATGTTAAAATCTTGAATGTTAGCCTTTACTATTCAAAGCAGTAGGAAAATACAAATGAGAGTAAGTTAATGCTAAAGAAAAATGTGTATTTGTCACTCTGGATGGAGATCACATACTTGATTGTTAGCCAAGACGGTAAAGACACTAGACATATACAAGTAACAGTTAGTGAAAGCATCAAAAATGTCTTTATATCTGTAACACTTGGCGCAGATTGGATCCTTGATTGTTGGTTTGAATGGTAAGAACTATACAGAAATACAATTGATAGTGAGTAAAGGCTCAATGAAATGCTTACATCTGTAACACTGGGGACCAGACTGTCAACCATTGGCTTGGACAATAAGGACATTACAAAAATACAGTCGACAGTAATTAAAGACTGAAAGAGACTTGTATACCTGCACTCGTGGGTGAAGATTGGATACTTGATATTTGGAGTTATCTGTAAAAATACTAGATCTATACAGTTGTTAGGAGATAAATACTCAAAGAGGCAAGAACATCTTTCATTTTTTGATTGATAGCGGGATCTTTATTTTTGGACTTGGCTGGGAAAGCACTTGTAAGATACAACTAGCTTTAAGTAAAAAATCGAAACGACTTGGATACCCTTAACTCTAGAAGGATATTGTATCTTTGATCGTTGGTCTTGATTGTGAACAGCCTATACAGTCACAATTCTCTGAAGGTATGTTTGTAGTCACTATTGTATACTGGCTGAACTATGTTGAGCCCTGACAGTCTATGTCCTGTTTCTGAGTATAGAGAGTGTTGGATGGATGGTCAAGAAAATGTTGGATTATAGTATCTTATTACCGCTGTATACTGTTTTTGGCAGGGCATCTTATATATTGATACTGACGCTTTTTGATATAATACAAGCCTGAAATATTACTAAAGAAGTTGATTTGTATTGAACATGATATATCTTTAACATGTACGTTGGTTAAAAGCGTTCGTGAGACAAACAGTAAAAAAGTTTATAAAAGAATGCTGGTATACTATGGGAAAAAAGAGGTGCTTCCAGGGGTTCACTGTGGTCCACTCAGGAGGTCGTCCAGGTGGGTGTTTTTTGCCTACCCACTTTTTCACCTCTTGCCTGTTATAGATTAGTTTATAACTCTGCTCTTTAACAAATAACCCCCAGAGAAATTTCTTGTGTAGGAATATAGATGTACCTTACATGCCCATATATAGATACAATTATCTGCGATAAATTCTGATCGAAATAAATTGCGGATTTAAAAATGCGTTTTCAAAAAAAAATGGTTCAAAAAAAATTGTGTTTCAAATAAATTGGTTTTTATTTTTTGTTTCAAAGTAGAAAAAAATGCTAAGCTATAGCTACACCATATAATTTATGAGCAGAAATATATAATAAATTAAATCTAGTTATTCTAAGCTAAAGATAGTGTCATGGAGTCTATATCCCTTATAATTCTTGAAGACAAAAGCATCTAAGAGCACCCGTAATAGTGGAGTACAAGAGCAATCTAGTAAAATATAAATATGAATGAGTATTTCCAGTTTAAAAATATAAGTCAAATGAAAGCTTACCTTTGAGTTTGCCGAGATGAATTTCATAAAAGTTAGAATCTCTACAAGTAAAAATGAATAGAAGATGGTTAGTATTCAATTACTTTGTAAACTAGGTGTGCAGGTATTACCTCAACTCATTTTGACCAGATGATGAAAAGGCTAATTGTCAGCTAATGAGACCCAAGATGAATAACTGCATTACAAAGTACAATATTGCTTTTTTATTATACATACCTCAAAAACAAGAATATATAGACACGTTTCCTAAAAAGATAATATACTATATGTAAAAACACATAATGAACAAACTTTTGTCGGTAAAGTAGAGTAAGAAACAATGTAAAGGACGTGATCCCACACTTATTCAAAATCGATTTAAAAAATTCTCATTGGTCTACTGGCTTTTAATATCAATATTGCAACTCATAGAAATGTTTTTAAAAAAAACGCCAAGTCATTCTCTCTCGGTTTGTCTTATTTTTATAAGTTAAAGAGGTATGTTCTAATAGCAAATAATTGAAATTACAGCTGTAACTTATTAAAAAAAATATGTGTATATATTTATATCTTCATTGGGTTGAGTTGTGCCTTAGAAGGTTGCCTTTGCTAGGCATTCTTTACTAATATTATGTAAGAAACAAAAAAAATTGTATATTTTTTCTTATTTGAAATTTTGACAAAGTCGTTTTATATGCTGAAAATCGTTGCCTTTACCAAATTTTAACAGAATTATTTTTTCATTACACAATACAGTCTCCGCATTTCCTTATTCAATGTTTTGTCTTACTTGAACAGCTTTTTGTTGTGATCAAAAAAGTTTGAAGTAGGACCAAACCTTCTTTCCTCCTTTATTTGGAAGAAAAAATATTCAACTCACGAAATTATAGAAAGAAAAATTCTCTAGGCCAATAATATTGTTTGGGTACCATACCCTACCATATTTGGCTTCCAATTTTTGTGGTGGTGGAATTTTCTGTTTCATTTTGATTTTTTTGGTGATTTTTTAATTATTATAGGCCAAAAATGAAGTCACAATTACAAAAAACACCCCTTTTTTCCCGTAGTGGTATATGAAAGAGAGTTGTTTTGCTGCATTCTATTTGGATTGGTCTCTTTCTTTTTTTGGTTCTCTTTTATCTTTTAGTCTTGCCAGCATATATATATATATATTATTTTTCTTTACTTCTTTATTTAATATCTATGCTTAAAATATAGGCTCTGGTTGTTAAAGAAGTTTTACTTACAGTTTGATGGACGTGCTGTGTAGACACTGGCTTTACTTTATTTCTCTTTTTGCCTTTTTTTACTGTGTCCCCAGTCACATCGAGTCCGTGCAGTCCGTGCAACATACTATGTGGTGTGGGCTGAGAGTAGCATTGTTGCAATGTATGTCGAGGCTTAACTTTAGAACGATAGCACTTAAACGAGGACTTCCGATTGGTTAATTATACGCGTGTCAATATATGGGCTTGCTATGGACCCCCCCCCCCCTCCCACATGCTCCCTTTATTTTTATTCTACTTTCTGCAGTGATTCTGTTAACTAGGCTTGTGCTCTTAGACAGCCGCTTGTTGAAACACTATATGTGCCTTTGTGTTAATTTTAGCTGTGCTACTGATATACAAAGTATTAATCGGTTAGTCATTTAACTACAATAAAGAAGTGTAAAGTTGTGTTGATTATAAAGCTTTACTTAAAATCTTGTATATTTTTATTTGTCTTTTTATTATTTGTTTTAAATTCTGTGACTTTATAAGCTTAAGAAGCACCCCCAAAAAACTGCTGCTTATAGCTTTTCTTTTCTTTTATGTGAAAGACCCCCCTTTTCTTCGAGCCTTTTCAGCAGTGCCTTGAGTTAATAAAGACAGAATGCAGAAATACTTCCCTGAAATTAGAGTATTGGTTGTGCTTTAGTAAGTATTGACTAACTGACTATTTAAACTCGTTGGTGTCTCAAGCTAAATCATCATTCTTAGCGAAACATAAAGTAAAAAGAAAAATAAAGGGGTCTGGTCTAATGTCTGCCAATCAATCTTGGTTTGTATAGCTTAATAAACCAATCGTAGTCCTACCCGGAAATTAATACAATATGACCCACTTGTCTGAAACACTTTTCATTTAGATATTTAGATATTCATTATTCTATCAATACTTATAGCTATTCATATAAGTTACATTATACACTATGCAAAAAGTAGTGGTGTTTACGATGGTGTTAGCTTGGTCATGGAAAGATCAAGCTAGTAAAATAACTAATTTATAAATCACCTTTTAAATTTTCTGCCTCTTTACTCTATCATTTGGTGTGGACAGATTAAAATACTCCAAAAAAACTTGAAATGGTCTTAGTCAATTGTATTAAATTGTGGGTTTTTTTAGGCCATCCGCCCTGTGGCATATTTTTTCCACCAAAGGGATGATGTTTTTCTCGATCCAATTGGAAATGAAAGAAGACTGGCCAGTCAGAATTATTTGAACTTTTTAGCCTGTCCACATCAACTATATCGACCTTGACAAACTCCACAATCCAGAACGGATAGTGTATTTGACAACGAACCTGGAAATGGCTCATCCCAGGAATATAACACCCACCAGACACTCGTACACTTCACACTACTCCAGTGGCAACCAATCATTAACAAACGGAGATCTTTAAATTAGAGAACTAAATATCTATATAAACAGCTATGATTCTATTTTTTAAATTAAATAAAAGCTCTCTCGCAGTACTTATTGTGGCCTGTTCAGGTCTATTTCTTTAGCCTAATATTCATTCCAGCTTTGTGGCAATTCGTGTATTTTATTTGGAAGGTGTCTTCAAATTATTACGTGAATGTAAAAGGGACCTATCTGTAATATTAAAACACTTAGCAAAATCCGAGATGAGGTAATATATCAGGAAAAAATAAATGTATTTTTTATATGATAGATTTCTGTAGGACTTTATATCTATCTGTTTATATGCCTTTATCTTGAAGAAATCCATATATTGAAACATAAGTAACCGTGTTTCAAAAAAAAAGAAACAAAAAAAAACATTTTTGTTGTTGTTTTGTGCTTTTTTTTTGCAAAATGGAATTAAAGGCGTCTATTATTTACACGATTGCGCCAAATACACAACGTCTAAGTTAGAAAGAAAGAAAATGTTTAAATAAAAATAAGAGAAAAAATGTGGCAATTATAATAAATTCTAAGTTGGTGCTGGTAGTTGGAGTTGGTATTTTAGACAGCAGTACGTTTTATCGACCTATTGAAAATAATAATGAGTCATTGTGCCTTTATTTATAGAGGCCTATCTCTTCCATGTACACACACATACAAAGATATATTTACCTTGACACATTATCAAACAATCGTTCAATATCTGGAGAGCACCGCACAAAGTCATATTCCCAAAAGGTTGGCTTCTTAATCAGCTCGATGAATGTAGCCAATAAACCCCATGGATGAGGTCGGTTAACGATCAAACGTTCCAACAATACCCTAATCATATTCTTCTTTCGTAAATATTCCATTCTCTCTTTACCCATTATTTTGTAAACCACATATTTCCATTTTGCATACCTTGTAATTTGTTCCTTGATCATCTCAGGCTGCTCTTCAAAGAGGTACAAAAGAGCTGTACTGAAGAAATACGTGTGGCTGTTGGGGTATCTCAGATGATCAACAAGTGAATTGAGCAAGTAGTATGTGCCCTGAGGTGACATTCTGGACAATAGATACTTGTAAGCACGAACGCTTGGATTTTCCGCAATACTACACTCCTCCAATGCAGTCTGAGACCCCAAATAGAGCACAAATGCAGTCAACAGGTTCAAATCGTACCCCTCGCTTGTCTTTAAAGTCTCCAGTATATTCTTTCCAAATACAGCCAGACCTTCTTTTTTGCACACATAACGATCCACGCTCTCGTCCAAACGTCCGTTGTTCATCAATATCTCGCTGTAGCTCATCACTACTAAAGGTTCCTGTCTGGATTCTGGCAAGGAAGATAGACACAAGTCGGGAGTGAAAGGATCTGGCAGGTGCATCACTCTGGGAAACGCACTCAAGACAAGATTTCGAAGTTGGATACATCCATGTGGAATGCACTGCGAAAACACCATGTAGTTGTCACTAAGGAACTCTGGGAAATCGTGTAGCAAGACTACCAGGAAACGCAATGTGCCACGATAAAAGGCACGTGTGGCTCGTTGCAGAACACGGGTCTCGAGCAAAGGACGCAAGAACCTCAACAGTACCAATACAAGCTTTTGGCAAAGTGCCCATCCCTGGGTGTGGTTGGCAACAAGTAGCTGAGGAACAAACGTACGGTGAGACAGTAGTTGGAGCCAAGAAAATGCGAATCCGGGAAAGTTCAGAGGTTGAAGCATGTAAAGCGTATCGCTATATACATAAGTCAAAGTAAAAAAAAAATTAATAAAAAAAAACTCTATTCAGCTGAAGAAATGTCGCCTTCAATTGTTTTGCTTTAAGTTGATTAGTAATTTGTTTTACCTATATGCCAAGATGATACTTGATTCAATTGACTTATTCTTGAGCTTGTTGAGCTCGCAAAACAAGGAAGACAAAATTCTCAAGAATGGTTTTTGGTTAAAATTGACTTGTCTCTTCTCGTGGTGTTGTGCCAAGACCAGAGTCACGACCGAGAGTGCGTGGCTCACTAAAGTCACTTTGGCCTTCTTGTCGTCCTCGCCAGTCTCTAGTCGGACCATGTATGCGACCAGCTTTGCGTAAGAGTCGATCAGTTGGAGCGCCCTTCTTCTAAACGATGCACTCTGTGTTTTGAAAGACAAAAAGTGGTGTACGCACGTCTCTGTGCACAGGCGAAAAAAAAAGCATCGATCGTTCTGATCCCTGGTCGTATTGAGTACCTTTGTGGCCAATTGAGAGCACAATTGATCAGTAACCATAGGATGCTGGCAGAGTCTCATCCACTCTGCCAACAAGAGCCGAAGTTCCAGGCAACCTTGTCCACTACTCCCAATGTAACCACCGCCACTATCATTTGTCTTTTTCAGATCAAGATATGGTGCCTCTACTAAGTTCCCAAGATCTGTCATCAATGCAATAACACTTGTAAACCAAGTTGAATATAAGTATTATTTTTTAGGATAATCGCCCAGTAATTTCGAGTTTGTGTAAAGATAAAAATATATATGCGCTTGTGTATGTAGATATATGTATGTATATATTGATTGTTGTTGTTGCTGTACCTCGCCGTAGCTTCCTCTTCTTTAACCAGGACATTGAGTGCTGCCAGAGTAAGGGCGTGATCTTCTAGGAATGTAACCGGGCTTGGAGACAACAGACACAATCTCACCAAATCAGCTGCAAAATCGATAACCCCGTCTGCCTTGTTTTGGATCAACTTTGCAGTCTGACCATCATAGATTTCTAATGGCAGCATTTCGTGGCGCAGTAACATTGCAATTACCGGTGCATTATATTTTCTCTAAAGACCAAAAACACAGTTAATCATTTAACCAAGCAATCGAACAATTGAACAATCAAACAATCAAGCGACCAATTGATTTTTGTTTTGATTTGATTTGATTTGATTGATTAATTCACAATAATGATACTAAAGTATTATAGCATCGCCCAATGATAAGATATATACAATATGTTGCTTACTTCATCATCCGCATATACAATCCAGCTCAATGCTTCTTTACCAACATGGACTGATAGTTCAAACAAGGACTGTAAAAACCCAGTGTATGCCTCTAGGGCAAATGGTGTTTGACTCTTGTAAAGCATATAAACCACCTTTTCCACAAATGTTTGCATGGTCTGTAGCAGGTTGGTGCTTTGAGAGATCACTAACGGGATCTGACGCATCAATAGACAAATGTCGTGGTTTGGTGGCAAAAGAGCACATGAAGGCATTGGGCATTGTCGGATCAATCGATCGAGTTCGAGCAACATTTGCTACAATGTATTTTATAGAGATTCAAAAAAAAACAATTGTTAGTTCTTGTTAAACTTTTTATTATCATTTTAATATCATTAATACATATGTGTGTGTATTGTATTAAATCATTGTTATTGTTATTATTATTATTATCAATAAAATATTACTATTACACTCTTATGAATTACATTCCATATTATTCACTATATTTATATTATGTTCTTTTCAATTGTTTCATCCTCATCTTTTTCTTCTTTCTTTCTTTCTTTCTACTTTGGTATCTTACTTCTAGTTTTGCCATAAGGTTCTCGTTGAAACTAACGGTGGGTAATAGTGGTGCGTTTAAAAAGTCTAAATTGTACATTTCGATCGTTTTTGTTGTTGTTGTTGTTGTTGATTATTTGTTTTGTTTTGTTTTTTGGTAAGTTTAATAGAATATATATATGTGTGTGTCTATTGAAATATTTTTATTATTTCTTTACCAGACTCGGGACTAAATGTGGTTTGAATGGGTGGTTGTGGCGATGGAGGATGAGGAACGGCTGGTTGTGAGTTAACAGGTTTATGAGCGAACATGTCGTAAAGCTTAAGTTTAGAGTAAGGAACAGAATAATTTGGTGAAGGCATAGGAAATATTTGTTTTTGTGTTTGTTTTTGTGTTTGTGTTTGTGTCTGTGTCTGTGTCTGTGTCTGCCGGTGGTGGTTGTGTATGTCTGCCTATCTATCTGCCTGTCTGCCTGTCTGGCTGTTTGCCTGTCGGTATTCTTTTCTATATAAATATATAAATGTATATAAATGTATATATACTTTTATAGATAGATATATAGATATATAGATATTTATATATATATATATATAATAGTCCTTGTTGTTGTTGTTGTTATTGACAAAGGAAGGTTGTGAGTGAGCGATAAAATAAATAAAAGGGTTTTGTATATATTTTTTTTCTTGTACGTCTTTTAGGCGGAGATGTGTCAAGATTATATTTTACATACCGAAAAGTCTGACTTTATATGACACAATACCGACAATTACAACAGCTTCATGGCTCTTTCCACTAACACTCCGGAACCACCAGGGGTCAAAAACCCCTCCACCACTGGCTCATCTCCACCATTGGCAACCTCATTCACACCAATCTCACCTACTCTGACACCACTATACTCACAAGTAGCTACACAGAATGCACCTCCACTCACCGAAAAGCAACCACATGTTATCTTTAGCTCTACAAATAACACAACCCCACGTACCTGGCGTGTAGGGTCCTCTAAGTTCTCTGTATTCTTTACCGCCCCACCAAAAACGTCACCCAACTTCGACCCTTTCTGGAGAGCCCTTCTCGCAGCTTACCCTCGCGAAGTTAACATGGGAATCACTCTTGGATCTCGCTATTCCCCTGATACATGCGAGCTCCACCTGGCTACCAGTGCTGACTGTGAGAGAGCGTGCTCTCATCCTTTGGTAGTCGGCGTTTCATCTTTTCCCGCTCAACCGGCTGTTCCCATTGGCACAATTGTTCGCCGTGTTTTCCTGACCAAGCTTCCTCGTGTCCCCTATCCGGAACTTGCTACACAGCTCACGAAATGTATGTCTCCTTTTGGTAAAGTGCGTGAGATCGCCGTTCACGAAACGTATGGGTTTTTTGACGGCTCTGGATATGTTGTCCTTGCCAACACCCCCACTGACGAGGTGCCATCCGATTCCCTGACGTACCAAATAGCATACGACGCTACGCAAAAGATACTCGGTAAGTGGCCTTCGATGGGCTCCCACTGCACTTATTGCAAGGAAATGGGACACGAAGTCACCCAGTGCACTAAGCGCCCAGCCGAAACCCGAACGTGCTTTGGATGCAACAAGATCGGCCACCTGCAAGCCAATTGCCCGCACTCCTCCGATCCATCCAAGACTTCTAAGACCTCAAACAAGCGATCCCGTCACCCCCACCGCAACGTTAAGCTCGATCGACCTATCCGCGAGCCTAAGCCTCTGATTCCGACTGCACTCTCGCTCACCTACGGAGGATCCGAGGCTTCCAAGCACAATCCGCACAAACCTGCTTTGCTTGAGTCTGCAAAACTAACCCTACCGGCAACCCTCCCTGCCATCACGACAATATCTGCGACAACCACGTCCTCCGGCCCTCGTCCCCGAAGTCGTTCTGTTGACACTCCTGTGAAGGGCTGGGACGATGAGATAGACGACGACATGATCACTGACTTCACGGATAGAGTCGAGGCTCGGACTCTCCGTCTTCAGAATGCCTCTCGCCTCTCTCATCTCCGGTTTTCTCGGACAGTACGTCCAATAGGCCGCAACACATCCCTCTCACCTCCTCGCTTCACTCCCCCACATAGCAAGAAAGCCCTCGACGCAGAGGCCAAGATTAACCAATGATAAAAATAGGCACAATGAACTGTAGGGGTCTACCCAAAGTTGGACACCCTGAATCACGCTCCTTTTTTATACGCCACCTACGCTCTCAGGGAATTGATATACTAGCCCTGCAAGAAACCCATGCCTCCTCTTCTATGCTTCAAGACACTTTTGACCAACAATTTCGGTCATCTTCATCTTTATGGTCGCCACACTGTGGTGTTGTATGCCTCTCCCCCCATATTATTCTCACAGACCCTTTATTTAGTCCTTGCGGCAGGTGCATCATTACAACTGTCACTCATACTGACAATAAATTTTCTCCATTCAAGATGGGTGTCATCTATGCTCCCGCCTCTCGAACTCCCCGCTATGATTTTCTTTCTTCCTTACTGTCGACACCTGACCTCATTCCATCCAATCCTTCCAACTTCATTTTATTAGGTGATTTTAACCATGCCATTCACTCTAACTACGCTCTCGGACGTCGTGCCCCACTAGCGTGGCTCCAGTTTCTGGACAACCATATGATTGACTGTGTCACTCCTCCTGGCCAGAACCCACAACCCACCTTTCATCGCGCCTTGTCTTCCACTACAATCGACTATATTCTTGCCTCTCCTGATCTTCACCCTCGCACTACTGACTCCCAGGTGAGATATATTCACCAAAACTGGTCCGATCATTGCCTGTTGACCGTCCGCTTGGCTCTCCCTTCCACCCAATCCTCTGGTAAGGGACTTTGGCGTGCTAACCCCCGACTTGCCAGGTTGACATCTTTCTGCACCGACCTCAACACTCTTCTATCCACCCTCATCCCTGCCCTTCCCGCAAACCTCTCTCCTCAAGCACGATGGGACTCGATAAAGAGCGAAGTCATACGCTTTATCAAGTGTTTCTCTCGCCACCTCCGACCCTCTCTCACCGACCTGGAAGCAAGCCTGCAACAACGGAGAGACAGACTAATACACCGTTTTCGACACCAGCCTGCACAGAATTTTCAGCTGCCTATTGTTGAGCGGCTTCTGCAGCAAGTCCAACTTGAACGAGTGGAGATCATGTCCCTTAGGGCTGGGAAACACTGGCGGGAACAAGGTGAGACCTCTGCTGGATATCTCAAGCGCACCATCGCCACTCGTCAGTCACGCAAGTCAATTGCCAGCCTTTGCCACCCTGCAACAAACGAAATATGTTCCACCCCCGAAAAGATGACCGAAGCAGCTGCCGCCTTTTATGAAGGCTTGTATACCCCGGACCCTATCGACCAATCTGCTCTGGACGACCTGCTCTCTCACCTGCCTTCTGACCTTGGTCTGTCAGAAAGTCGGCAGACTGCCCTCACTCGTCCTCTGTCATTGTCTACTATTCGCTCTGGTGCGTCGCGCACTCCAACCTCTAGCAGTCCCGGTCCCGATGGCTTACCCTACGAGATCCTTCGCTTGATACTAGACCACCCAGTATGTGGTGATCTGGTTTCGGAAGTCTACAACGACGCCCTATCAAAAGGCATTTTTCCGGAATCCTGGCAATCCACCTGCGTTTGCCTGCTCCCAAAAAAGGGCGATCTCACCTCTTTGAAGAACTGGCGCCCAATTGCCTTGATCAACACCGATGCCAAGGTATTTACCCGATTGCTGAATGCTCGCATGATTCCCACGGTCACTTCACTTGTCTCTCCTTACCAGACAGGGTTCGTTCAGGGTCGCTTCATCGCCGATAATGGAATGCTGACCAGGCTGGTCATGGCACAAGCCGCCAAGGACGGATCAGCTGGTGTTGGACTTCTCCTCGATCAGGAGAAAGCATATGATAGAGTACATCCGGAATATTTTCGCCAAGTACTGACACACTTTCGATTTCCCTCCTCTCTTGTCACCTCGATCTCTAACCTCTTCTTTTCTACTAAATTGCAAATAAATGTGAATGGCTTCCTCTCGCGCCCTTTGCCTCAATCTCGGGGACTACGCCAAGGGGACCCTCTCTCCCCTATACTGTTCAATCTAGTTTTTGAGCCTCTACTACGACGAGTGATCCATGACCAGTCCTTCTCGGGCTTTCAACCATCTGTTCCTGCTGGTCTTTCTCCTCTGTCACCGATCAAACTCCTTGCGTACGCTGATGATTTACTTGTTTTTCTTTCTGACACAGGGCAGTTGTCTCGCCTCCACTCCCACCTCAACACCTATGCTGCGGCTTCCAACGCCCGCGTAAATCTTCACAAGACGCAGGCATTTTCACTTTCGGGCTCACCCCTGCCAGACTGGCCCTCACATCTACGGACCCACAATATTACGGATTGGCATGACCGGACCTCCTCCTCTTCTCTTCGCTATCTGGGATATCCAATTTTCTCCTCCATTGCCCAACGAGACTCATTTGGCCAGGCCCTTCTTTCTAAGATTGAGAATAGCTGTATTCTACACGGCTCACGCACCCTGTCCTTCCGCGGCCGTGCCACTGTCATGAACTCTCTCATTCTCGCCCAACTTTGGCATGTCTTGCGCGTAGTATCCTTCCCCGTCTCTTTTCTCGAAAAAATACGCACTCTGATGCGCCGTTTCTTCCGCTTCCGTTCGTTCCCCCCCATTGCTTTGGACACCCTCTGCCTTCCTCGCTTTCAAGGTGGTCTTGGCATCCTCGACCCGATTACACAGCAATGCGCTCTTCAGCTTCGTTGGCTCAAGCCAATAATCCAGAACCCATTGGGTCCCCGTGGTTTGGTCCCCAAATGGATGGCTTCTCTCCTTCGCACTGAGAATACGGATTGTGATCCCCTTCTACTTTGGATCTTCCCAGACTCTAGACCTCGCACCCATCGCTCACTGGATTCGCCTCTTCATCTTGTCCTGAAGGCCATGGACCACCTCCCGCACAAGTTTGACGACGTCCTCACGAATCTATCCACGTGCCTTATGTTGCCCTTGTCCTCCATGGTTAATAGCCCTCCCTCTCATCCGCCCTACCGACAATCTTGGCGAGACCTGAAGGTTAACCACCTATACCAAATTGATCATAATTTGGACGTCCTGATGCCCATTGCCCCTGCTAGACCTCTTCCTCGATTTATCACTCTTAATCGTATCCTGCAAAGACTTCTCGACCGTTCACTTGTGGCTCACCCTATCCTTTTCAGAGCTTGTATTCCTACATTCATCCTAGAATCGCGACATTTGGATATGCCTCCTCGAGATGGGTCCCCCTTTGACTTTGATCCCTTCATCTCTGCTCTGGTCCTCGGCAAACCTTGGTCACGCTTGTCCACGCGCTCTTACCGGCTGACCTGTTCTCATCATCATGCTAATGCTCAACCACTTAGCCCCCATCTTAGCCCTCGCCAACTGCACTCTTTCTGGTCTTTCGCACTTCCTCACCGGGCCCGTAATGTTTGGTTTCGCGGCTTACACAACAAACTATCGTGCCGAGCTCTTCTGCACCACATTATGCCCTTCACTGTTTCTTCACCTCTCTGCAATATCTGCCAGATGTCAATCGAGACGCAAGAGCATTTTCTTCTTTCTTGTCCTTTGAAATCTGCGGTGTGGTTAGGCATTTGGTTAGAATTTTTCGGCACCGTCCCACCACCTTCTGCACTTTCCTCGGCATTCACATCCTTTCTCTTCCCTCCCACGCTGAACCCCAGTATTCCAGCCGCCTCGGTTTTCGGACTGACCATCCTTGCTATCTGGGACCACCATTGGGCACTCCACTTTAACTCTGCTCCCTTTTTACCTTCCTTGGTTCTTGCCACTGCTAGGAAATCAATCTCCCGCATCTGCTCAGAGCTCGAGCTTGACTCCGCTGACTCTTCCCTCGCATAACACCACATTAACATTTTAACAAAAAAAAAAAAAAAAAGTTTAAATCACACAAAAACAAGTCAAAAACCAAAAAGCCAAAAACATCAAATAACCCCCATAAACCCTCAAAACAAATGTTGTAATTTTCTCTTTTGCCCTACTCATTCAGAGAACTTTAATAAATCTGAGCCTGTCACAGCTCCATACAAACAATTACAACAGCTTTTGTGTCAAATGCTTATTTTTGCGCAATAATTTGCTACTTCTCGAAATATAAAACGCATTTATTAATTATTATTACGCCATGGCTAACTGGTAATCATTTGCTCATTCATACTTTAAATTCATCTGAGCCTATCAACAATTCCGTACACATTTGTAACCATTTATGTCATTTAAATATTCTCCCGTGAATATCAAATAAAAGAATTTTCTCTAGCAAGTTTTTTTTTGATAATAATACTAATTTTTTTTGTTTGTATGGAGCTGTGACAGGCTCAGATTTATTAAAGTTCTCTGAATGATATATAATACTAAAGATGTTTCTTTGTATCGTTTACCATTTTGTCGTGAAGTAACATCGAGTCACAAAGCTTAAAATGAAACAGAAATCACAAAAAGAATTAGGGGACTTCTGTTTCAAAAAAAAATATGTATTTAAACTTGCTTATTGCTGACGTATTCTTATTTGTTTAAGTTTCGAGCAAAATATACTTGACTGCACAAATGGTTCAAGAACAGGTTAATGATGGTGTATATATATATGTATATATTTATGTTTATGCTTATATTTATGTATGTGTACAATTTTTATTTATTTTTGAAGTTGTCATATATTTTCTTCCTTTTCTTTTACGATCTTTATTTCTTACGCTGAGCAGCCCACTTGTATACTGCCAATCCATGCTTGTCCACACCCACCTTAGTCTTCTTGCCCTTTTGCTATTTATGCAATTTAATTATAAAAATGTTAAATATCTCCTTTATTAACTTAAGAATATGTATATATTTTTTTGATTTTTTTTTTACCTGAAGAGCTTTTTGTATCTGCAATTCACGTTCCACCCGAGCAAGTTCTTCCTCACGCTTTGATCTGGATGCCAATTCCATATATTTCTTTTCTCTTTCACGCTTGAGCTCCTACATAATCAATCATTTCGCTTAGTCCCTTCATCGAGCCGACTCCACCAATTAAAACGAGAAAACTAATAAACCAAACTGACCTTGATCTCCTTTTTGTCCTCTAGATTGGCAAATGTTGTCTTTCTCAGTGTATCGATACGCGGCCGGTTGAATTTACGGTTAACAAGTTCAGGGAATGTATCGAGATGTTTAGCAGGGTCGAACTGTTTTACTACACAAACAATACATGTAAGAAATTCGATCCAAAACCATAATCTAGCCATAAAAACTCATCGACTCATCCACACGCACACACACGCACACACACGCACACACACGCACACGCACACGCATATACACTCTCTTTCTCTCTTTCTCTCTTTCTCTCTTTATACCTTGCTTCTCAGAATCCACAAATACAATATGATTTGTCTTTTTCTTGACTGCCTGTTCATCTTCCTCTTCATCATCTTCATCGTCCTCGTCTGCCTCAATCTCATCGTCCAAGAAATGAATTGACTCTTGTAATTTTTCCATTTTCTATTCATTCTTTTTTGTATCAATAAAACCTTTCTTGTCTTTTATATATATACACCAATGTTTTTGTGCTTACCTTTTTACTAATATCCCGCTGAAGTTTAATATAGTTTTTGTCCTGAGACTTCATTAACTGAATCATCTCATGAGGCAGCTGTTCATTACGTTCTTTAATGTGAACACCACCCTTTTTGTTTGTTTGTTAAAGAATGAAAAAAAAGAATAATAGTAAGAACCAAGAATAAGTGACAATTTACACCAATTATGTTTTATTTTTCATTTATTCATTTATTCATTTAGTTATAGTCTTGTCTATATATTAAATACATGTATTTTTTGAGAAATATACATTTATGTTACCTTTGTTTTGGAGTTAATCATCTTAAAGTAGAATTCATCGGGATTTCTAAACAAGGCCTTGTCTCGCAGAGCCTTGAGTCTGTTTTGTTTGCTGTGGTAATCTTTGGCACGAAGCTTGTAATCTTTCTTCTTTTCTAGCAAACCGAAATGCTGACGGCCGGCCAACTGGCCACGCTCTTTATGATTGCGTCGCTGGACTGAATTGCGAAGTGTCGAAGACATGTGGAAATTGAATTAAAGAAGAAGAAGAGAATGAATCGATCGTCGGTTTTTAGGCGGGATTGCTAAGGTTTTCTCAATCTGAGCAAAAGAACAAGTCACATAAGCCACCGCAAAGGGGTAAAATATGGAAGAATAAAAGAGAGAGAGAGGAAGATCTTTGCATTCAAAGTAAATATTTAAACATCCGCCAGTTCTTTTGAATTTTCTCTTTCTCTTTTTACTGTTGTTGTATGTTATATACTGTATAGCAATTATATCTTCTTTGATAACCTCAAAGCCAAGTAGTTATGGTTTTTGCTTACTATTCTGTTCGCTAGTGGTAAATACTCTTGTATTAAATAATTCCTAGAAACCAACATCTGATATTTATACGAACAGTACTGGAGCAAAAAAAAGGCTAGGAAAAATATCCTTCTTAAGTCTCTCCCCTTATTTTTTTAATAGTAGCATATAATTTAATAATAGAATAATTGTATATGTATATATCACTTGTTGATTCTAATAGCGAAGGTACACAGTCAATTTTAAAAAGCTTTCTTAGATTATCAAGGCTGTTTTTATAAAATAAAAAAAAAACTAATAAAAGATCCATAAAAGAACTACTGCTAAATTTTCAACCTTTGATCAAAGAGAAAGTTAAACCTTTGAAGAAGCCCTTTATTTTGCTTTAAAACATCCCTCCCTCTAAAGATAAATAGAATATCCAATTGATTTATTCTAGCCCTCTTTAATTACGCTTTATTTTCAACAAACTGAGGGCTTGCTTTGATTAGATTAAATTAGATTCGATTCTATACACACGTATTTTATTTATACATATTAGCAACAATCCCTTTTATCTATCCTCTACTTCCTTCCTTCCTTTTCCTCTTCTTTCTATTCTGTTTTTTCTTATACAACAATATGTATTCAGCAAAAGCAACAACAGCAACTAAAAGACAGGGACTTTATTTATTCTTTTATTAAATTTGCACATTAAATCTAGGATCAAAATATTCGAATGAAAACAATAACAATTGGGCAACTATCTTTTTGAGAAATGTGTTGCGAATTTAATAAAACTTACAACACCCGTCTAACAATTATTCATTTCTTGTTTTTGAGCATAGATTTATATATTTAGACAGAAACTAATATGATATTTATAAAAATAAATCTTTTACTTGAATATTAATATCGGTTGATATGTATGTATCTATGTATTTATTTAATTATTTTCAGAGAAATAATTTGTATGCATTAATGAATCAAGAAACTCGTGTGTTTTAAATTTAATTTAATTATCTTTGTGAATAGCGAATGTACTTTAATCAATACTATAGATCCAGTTTCCCTTAAATAATAATAATGGTAGTCAAAACAAAACGAAACGAAAATAAAAATAAAGGGAAAGAAAGGGTATAAAACGATTTGTTGTTATGGGGTTGTATTAATACATGAATTCTGTTGTAATATCTGGATTTCAGACTAATAATTATAATTCATCTATTATTTGATTTGACCTTTTGGTTTGTAAGCTTTTTTTGATCAAGCCAAATGAAATGGCCCTTGTGTAAACGCACCTTTAGAAGGAGAAAGAAAGGAATAAAGGAATAAAGGGGCTTCAAAACCCTTCAAATATATCCCAAAGGGTCCGTGCAGTGCAAATAAAGCAAATCATTTCCAATAGAATTAGAAACGGCACAAAAAAAAGCTTGAAAGAATAATAATAAAAATCAAAAGGAGAAGGAGTAGGATGAAGAAGAAGGGAGGCTTTAAGAGATAAAGAAACAGAGATAATAATTATTATTATTCAAAAAGAACGACTCTAATGAAAAATATTTTATGATTAGACGATTGTAAAGATAATAAGAAGGATACTAATCTAGCTGCTTAAGCCTTTTAGAATGTTGTTCTTAAAGGTATCTTGAATAGATTTTATTCTTGTTTTAATCAATGCAAATATCAAAGAGGATAGGTTAGAAAGGGTCATGGATTCAATATAACTTTATTTGGTTTCATCATTTAGCAATTATGAAAATTCTAAAAACGAGGAACAAGAAGGCCACAAAGGATATCGGTCTCCTATTTTTTTTTATCTTTAAAAAAAAAGACGAAACCATAATACTAATACTAATAGTATCAGTATTAATATTAGTAAACATAATATAAAATAATATAATACTAGGCAGTAGAGGGGTTTTGGCTACCTTTAGTTAAAATTATGAATAATTTCTCTCAATATCCTTCCCTGAAATATGAGGGATAACTATCGCTTTCTATAGTTTATGGAATGCATTAAAAAAGTCTACATAATACAAGGTATCCAAAGAACGATTGTTATTCTTACTGTTATCACCATCATAATCATCATCATCATAATCATAATCATCATCATCAGCAATATTATATTATATTTTATTATATTTTATTAATTTTGAGTTTGCTTATTGACTTTATCGAATCAAACTATATTACACCTATCTCCATAAATTCACTTCTTGTTCGTCTCTATTTTTTTTGTATTATTACTATTACTACTACTATTATAATACTAGAACCTAAAGCATATATACATACACACACATACAAACACTGTAATCTTGACCTACCAATGTTAATCTATCAATCATTGTGCTCTTCGATTGGGATAATGTTTCTCTTGGCTTTTATGAGCACGCTAGTCACAGCCCAAGTTACAGACTGTACCAAGAGTATCCAGGTAAAATCTCAGACTGAACTGGATCAAATATCGGCCTGTAAGTTCTACAAGGGTACTATCAATGTAAGCAACTGCACGGCCACAGATCTTGTAGTACACGGTGTCGAGACCATCGAAGGAAACCTGGCCTTGATCGGCAACACCGAGCTTCTACACCTTTCTCTCCCTGATCTCCATACCATACACGGCCGGTTCTTATTGGACAGCAACAAGAGACTGACCGACATCAGCATGCCGAAGTTGAGCCGAGTTGGTACATTTGAGGTCTTGGTCCACCCTTCCATCAAAGATGTTGCTTTTCCAGCAGGGTTGGTGCAAATCAACTCCCTGTCTGTCACAGACACGACAGCCACATCCATCAAGGGCATCTATGCAACAAAAATAGCGCACCTCACTCTGGCAGGAAACACTTATCTCAATTCAATCGAGCTAGGAAACCTTACACATGTTACTTATGCACTATCCGTCCTAGCAAATGCCCCCACTCTGAATCTAAATGTAAAGTGTGTTTAATATGACAAACTAGTTCAATGTTGACTAACCAAGCTTTACATATATATATATATATATATAGCTGGCTTCTATGGATACTATTCAACAAGGAGATTTTCGAGACCTGGCAGGTGTTTCTCTCGGCCATCTTTCGCATGCAAGTGGAGACCTTTCATTCGTTTCAAACACTTTTACGAATCTATCACTTCCTCAACTTCAACAAGTAGAAGGAGGTCTTTCGATCACCAATAATTCCCAGTTGTCCACCATGTCAATGCCATCTCTTACCCAATTAGGAGGTGCACTATTGGTAGCCAAAAACCCAAAAATTAGTAGCCTAGACAGTTTTCCAAAACTGGAGAGAGTCAATGGCACGGTCGACATATTGGGTTCATTTGATTCCATTAAATTTTCTGATTTACACGATGTAAGCAAAAAGAGAAAACATACATACACATACACATACACAAGATATCATTCGTTATCTATATTTTTCAATAGGTTTAAAAAGCTCTAGAATAACTAAACCTTGGTTTTTTTTTATATGTATTTAGGTTCGTGGTGGTATGTCTCTTCAGACAAGCAGCTCTAAATTCCAATGCGATGATATCAACAAGTTAAAAGCAAGCGTAATCAAGGGACATGTATTCTCATGCAAGTCAAATATGTCTATACTTGATGAAACTAACAAGACCGACAAACCCAAAGACACAAGTGATGGGGTTGGAATAGGATCATTGTACAAAGGATATTGGAGTGGTCTTGTGTCTTGTATAGCTTTAAGCTTTCTACTTTAATACTCGTCTCAAATTAGCATACCATACGCACAAAGAAAGATAGAAATAGAGAGCTAACAAGAGAATATATACTGTATATTTTATAAGAAATAATAATAATAATAATAATAATTAAAAGGCATATTAAAGGCTGAATACTATATATAAAAAATCAAACACCTTGAATATCCATTAAGAAAGCCGCATTATAGCATACTATTTTACTATATGAACGAATCAAATATTTTTATTGTGCTTTTGATTTGTTGTTTTGGTTATAGAGTTACATTCTTAGGAATTTTAAAATTGATTTTTTTTACAGTGCATCTGTGTTCAATCGACCGATGTGTTCACCCATGTTCACCTTGGTCTCCAAAGAGCTCTTGGATGTTTTGAGCAAGTCACTATCCCACTCCACACTATTTTTGGGGAAAATGACGGCCACTGTGGAGCCACCGTACTGGAAGTATCCCATCTCGTCTCCCTTTTTTAGAGATTTTCCGACCACTGTATTTTCGGAAAGAACAATCGATCCAACCAATAATGCACCAATAGGAACCACAGCATAGTTAAATCCCAGTGGGTGTCTAAATGTCAAGATTTGTCTGTGGTTTTCCGTAAATACATTGACATCTTCCTTGACCACACAAGGATTTACTATTTATTTATTTAGTATATATATATATATATATAAAAGGATATTTGAATAATGAGTTTGACAAACCAATATAGTATAATAATATATATGTTTTCATACCTGTGTAATAAGTTCCTGCGACGGTCTGGATCGATTCAATCTCACCATCGGCAGGGGCATGCCATCTATGATAGTCCTGAGGAGCCAAACGAAATATGGCCATTGACCCACCCTCGAGCTGGTCTGCCAATTTCGCGTCTTGCAAGAAGTTGTGAAGCGTGAATTTTTTACCTTTGATCCAGAATTCGGTTGCCTTTTCAACCGAAGAGAACACACCAAGACGTGAGTCTGCGGCTGACACAAAGATACTCTACGATTATTGTTATTATTTGGTGAGTAATAGAATATTAGTCAAAGGCTACGGTTTGTATATCATAATTATGTATAACAAATTACTTACAGAGTCTTCTGGGGAGGCTATGGGTCGGACCGAAGGACGAATGGCTCGGGTAAAAAAATCGTTAAAATTTGAATAGGAATCCAGGGCTGGCTTAACATAATCATTCATATTGATTCCATAGTGTTCCACGAATGATGGGATTTGTGATACAGACTTGGGATCGGTAAAATAGGCACCCTGACGGATAGTTTCGATTAAGAATAGTTTTTTCATCGTTTCAGTCTCCACCACTAAATAAATATAAATATAAATAAAAAAGTTTAATCCTTTATCCAAAAATTACTTTAGGACAGCTATGATTCTTAAGTGTAATTTTGGATTATTAGGTTACTTGCATTTTCCCTGATAATAGCCTGCAAAGAGCATATGCATGCCAATGCGTGTGTACATTGGCATTTCTTCATAATGGTATTCTCCTGTCTTTTTTTAAAAAAAATTAATTTTAAATAAAAGTATATATTTTAATAAAAAGATCCTATTTATCGATGGATTTATTTAATAATTTGTCGATGGTTTACCTTGCGAACAACTAAAAATACTCCGTATCTCTTCTCAACTGCTGTCTTGAAGCTTTCGGGTAAAAGATGGGAATGGATCCAGCCGGTCAATTTACGACTGTACCAGTGTTTTGGTAGTTGACCTGAAGGAGTATGTATACCTCCTTCCACTTTTAATAATAACAATAACAATAACAATAACAATATTAATAATAGTTATAGCAATAGCAATAGAAATAGTAATATTTGGTATTGAGAAAGGGACTTGGAACAGCAGACATTGTAATCTGTAATGTGATGTAATATATATATATATATATATAAATGCTTTGACTTACTGCAATTGCCTTGCTCTGTTTTATCGATTGCTATAGAGAGATCCTATAGCCAACACCAACACGATTAATTATTTGGTTTCTATCAATTTTTTATTTTACATTTCCTAGACCCTCTGTGTCGTTGTCTTTGATGTGTTGTTCTACTAGCTCGTTTTGAGTGATATCCTCGTATTCTGGTGTGAGCATCTTGCGTTTGGTGTTCGATTGTTTAATTTAATGGCTGTTGACAAAGAAAGGAGATATTTTTTTGTCGCTGCTGTTGGTCTTATAAAGCGATTGGATTGCTCGTACCACAGGCCGGAATGATAGTTTGATTGGTGACATTTTGAACAGAATAAGGCTGTGCCAAGGCTTTCCCTTTTAATATATATATATTTCTTTCTTTCTTTCTTGAAGAGTACAAGAAAGTAATTCTATTTTAGTAACCTATAAAAGCGTAATATGCCCAAATGGGGATTTTAAATAGGGCAGATACCACGTAAATGATACTAATCATTATAATGGTAATATTGGTAATACTGGTAATACTGGTAATAATGATGGTAGTGATAGTTTATCAAACAAGAAACAGAAATACAAACAAATGTGGAAATAAAGCCTGTAGACAAGCTGAGCATCGTTATTTTTTACGCTGTACTTTGGACACTTCTTTATTAATAATTTTGCCAAACATTCATATTCATACATGAATCTCCAACTATAGATCTATCTATCTCTGTCTTTGTAGTTCTATCTATATATACTGTATACATACTTATACGAGTATTCTAATAAGTACAAGTATTAACAAATATATGGCACAGACTAAAGAACACAATCAATACACACACACAAACACAATATGTATATATATATGTGTACATATACATATATCATTTCTTCTTGGTTTGCTTTTTTTTTAGGATTCTTTTATACTTTTTGGAAACATGTTTTGGTTGATCTAGAAACATACATCGTAAAAAAAATGGTGAGCCAAGTCAATTGTTACAAAAATCAAAAAGAAAGGAAGAAAATGAGGCAAATATTTTGAAGCGCCATTTTCTCTCTTTCTCTCTCCTTTTTTTGTTGTTGTTGTTTGCTGTTGTTTGCTGTTGTTGCTATTGTTGGTCTTGTTGAGGTTTTTTTTCTTCTTCCAAAAATGTTGGTAGTAAAAAGTGAGGGGGTAATGGGGGGATTGAAGAGGGGTGAAAAATAAGTGGGATAAATTCGGTTCTTTTGGAATAACCAAAGTCTGCACAAGAAACGATCTCTTCTTTTTGTTCTTCTTCAATTAGGCCTTTCCTGCTGCGCTTTCCTGCTCCTTTTTGGCCAAAGCAGCTTCTTGCTTGGCACGCATAATAGCAGCATCACTAGACAAAGAAAGTAATTTAGAATCTTCTTATTTCTACTACTAATACTATTATTATTATTACAATGAATAGCTACATTCCAAACATTACCTCTCCTTCTTCTGATTGATGGTCTGGCCGTTGAGAGATGTCTTGCCCTTCTTGGCTTCAGCCATCTTCTTCTGGTTCTTTGCACGAGCTTGTTCTCTCTGGTTACCGCCTATGCAGAGTATGAGACAAGAACAGGCTTCGGAAATGGGAGTAACCTACGGGCCATGATGATGAAATGGAAACAAATGAATTAAAAAATTTTATGGATCGCTTGTTTTATTCTGACGCGGACATTGAATATCACCCCATGCCACCGCTTGTAAATAAAATAAAATAAATTAAATATATAGGGAAATGAAGAGAAGAAAAAAAAAAGGAAGAGCAAATAAAAGGAGGAGGTTGGAGTTGAGGTGAGAAGAATTCTGTACACAAGAAGCCAAAAATATATTATTATTATTATTATTTAAAAGAAAAAATCAATTCACTCAAGAGGCTTTAAATAAATAAATATATAAATATATATATAGATATTTGTATTCAAGAATGAATATTTGTAAGCCATTTTATAAATCACTGGTGACAGTAGTAATAGTAAAAGAAAGAACAAATCTCAAGAGTAGAAATAAAAACTAGAAAGTACAAAAACAGAAAAAGGCACAGCTAGCCAAGCAGATAGACAGGTTGGCAGACAGTCAAAGACAGACAGAGAGAGAGAGAGAGAGAGAGAAGGAAGAGATAAAGACAACCCAAATCAAATAAATCTCCGCCTTTCTTTTTTGTTTTAACTCTTTTCTGCGTAATGTTTGCTTCAGTCTTGAATGCATTTACAAAGTCTGGCTCAAGGCCATCCCCTGATGAGAGGCGTCAAGGTAGACCGCATTAGAATACATTCAGTGGTTGTTAATGTACTTGCTATTCAGTGTTTATTAATGTGTATGATATGGTAAGTTCATTTAACCAACGATCAAGCCATTTATATATAAAAGAAATATAAGAACGAGAAAGAAAAGACAATAAACACAAGCGATGATGAATTCAGCTTCAACCTAGTCTGTTGACGAACATGGGGCATCACATTGGAGTTGGTATGATAGCTCAATATATATATATATATTATTTTATCCAGAACAAGAAAAATAACTAAATATATTAAACATGTATTTGTTTGTTTGTGTGTTTGTTCTCCTCCCCAGGAATATATCATTCAGGAGTAGAGATCCATGGCCATGAGTATTGTTTTGGAGGTCATGAATATGAAGGCATTACAGGTGTATTTGTAGTAGAAGCCAAAATTGGTCCTCCGGGTGTATTGTTCAAGTGAGTAAGATCAATAAATAAATAAATAAAGACTTTGTGCGAGCAAATGATGGGTAACATACATCATTTAGACAATCGATCCACATGGGTTGTACCGAGTTGTCAGATGAGGCGATAGGGCAGGTTCTCAAGGATCTTTCAAAAGAATTTATTGGAACATCATACAATTTGCTCACTCGGTAAGAACAATTGAGTAATACATACATACATACATACATACATACATACGTACATACACAAAATACAACTGAATCTTGTCTAAATTCTTGGATTTTCTAACATTCTTATATGCATATGTGTGTAGTAATTGTAATCATTTTACAGAGACACTTGTCCAACGGCTAGTAAAAAAGCCAGCTCCAAAATGGATCAACAGAGCTGCCAAACTAGGAACCATGTTTCCTTGTATAATTCCTACAGAATGGGTTGAGCCACCCGACTTGGAGGCTGGTAGAAATTCGGTAAATCTTCCTAGTGAAACTAACCAGCCAACAACAGCCATCAATTCTCCTGGATCTGGTAGTCAGTCACCATCAACAACTCTCTCATGTTCATCAAAGACTCCACTCAAGCCTAGGGATCCTTCTCCCGAGGCTTATCCTAGACACCCTCGCCCACAAGCTAGCCAGTCTCTTGTGCCAGACACCCACCCTTCTCATCGACAAACACACACATCAGCAACAACAACTCAAAAACCTCGGCGCAGTTCGTTCCCAAATTCTCGGCGACCATCTACACTTGAAGATAATGAAAGCATTGTTCTTCCTCGGCCATCTCCGTTGATCGAAGATGAGCTCAACATGGATAACCCAGTAAAGGAACCAGATACTTGCCGTCCAGATGTAATTAGATCAGCCACAAGGCTATCAATGAGTGCCTCTCTTCAAGAAATGGAATTACTTTAATATATATATATATATATATATATTTAAAAAAAAGATATATTCAAAGCATATTTTCATATAAATAATATACAAATTTATATCTATCTATTTATCTATTTATCTGACTAACTAACTATTTATTTATTTATCTTACACCTGAACACAGTACAGCACAAATCACTATATCACACTAATAATAAATATGAAAATACAAACAAAGTACAGTATATTAACAGTATGAGATATCAGAGAATAAGCATTTTAGAATAAGCAAAAAGAAAAAGAAAAAGAAAAGGACTTGTTCTCGGAACAACTCGTAGAATATGACCAGCTTTCTAAGATCCAAGCATGTCTTTTGTACAAAGATCACAGACCAAGTGTAACAAAAAAAAAGAATTGGGTTTAAGCGGATTTGAGGGTATTGAGACCATTGTAGACCTTTTCATAGATAGTAAATACAATACCGCCCGAGAACTATTACAATACAACAAAACTTATATTAGCTCACAGATAATTTTTCTTTCTAATGGATTACACACACACATGCATATATATATATATATACATATATATATATATACTGATTCCCTACTTACAATCAAACGAGTGAGACGTGGAGTAGTACCCTTCCAAAGAGAAAAGATACCATTCTGCTTGACAACCTTAATCAGGCAGTCAAGAGAATGCTTGTATATCTTTGCATCTAACCCCTGCATGCGTGTTTTCACTACATCTAAGGGCATGGTAGTATAGACTGTCACAATTCCTGCCATAGCGCCAGCAAGGAAAGTATGTGTGGAAGGCAAGGGCTGTCCAGGTTTGTTGTGCCATTTCTCAAGTAATTCGCGGAAAGATGAATAACAGCTGAATCTAACTGCACTGTTTGCTCCTTGACGTGCCATAACAGGACCCACTCCACGATAAATACCCTGTAACCCCTCTTCTTTGATAATTAACCGTGTACCATGTACAAGGCCTTTGTACTTTGGTGTCTGGCTATTCTTGTCGTGAATCAACTTTGTCCTTTTTTTTTAAAAAAAAAAAGTAAAATAAAATAAATAAATATAAAAATATAAAAACCGAGATTATTATAGCCTAAAAGTATCATATATATATAAACATACTTGATGGTCTCGGAAGGAGTTACTACCAACACAGCCTCTGTCATTCCTGCACCAAGTCCGGCCAACAAACTGCGAATACCAGTCAGCTTTCCGTTTTCATCCTTGAGTTGATTTGCAATCTGATCATAGGTGAGGAATCGTACGCCAGCCTTGGCGGCATTGCCGATTGCAAGTGCAGAAACACCTGTGTAGATTGCACCAATGCCCTTGGACTGGTATGTCTTGACAAGACAGTCAATGGGACCTTTGAAACGAACTTCGCCAGGACCTAACTTTCCACCGGCCTGCAGTTGGAGACGAGTTTTGACGTATTCGGTTGGGTAGGTCACGACACCTTCAATTCCACCAGCAAAGGTACCTGCCAAAATGGACAGAATAGGGTCTTTGGATTTCTTGTCTGTGGCCATTATTATTTCTTTTTTTGGTGTCAATAAATTATGTCTCTCTCTCTATATATATATTATGTGGGTGGTGTACGTATGTACTAAAGTAAAGATAAGTGAAATAAGAAGGAAAACAGGAAGAAGAGAAGAAATGAAAAATAATAGTAAATAAATAAGTAGGTAAAAAAAGCGGATATTGCGCAATACCTTAATACCTTGTATTATATTTGTATTATCGAAGTTCAACTGATGGGATGTGTACCAGATCTCATCTGTAGGTATTTCCTTATATGGACTAACCGTCTTCAATAAAAATTCGGCCCTGGTAGATTACACACACACCTATCGGAGGAGAGTGTTTTTTTTTTTGCGAGAAAATTGCGTATAATTTTTTTTTGCGTCCCACCATTTTTTTTGCGTTTTTTAATCGTTACTGCTAAAACTATCATTATTTTCTAGTTTATATTTTACCTAGAAAAATAAAGCCTAAAATAATACTATGGGACTCTATGGCAGGTTATGTGTGTTAGCATCAATCACACAAAGACTACTGACCTGCCTAAAGAACCATATATGGTATTTATAACAAATTGTTACTAATACCAAAAAATAATAATAATAAGTTGTGTACCAAGTTGGGCTAATTATGAAGGGAACCAACAGGTTTATCAAGCAAAAACCACAAAACATCGACGTTGATGTTGATATTGAACAGTACAAAATAAGATGATTGCCTGTAGTCTTACTATATAAAGAGACTAAGAGAAAAGAAAATGACGTATTCACCGTAAGGTTTTTCACCATCTCCTCTGCTTGGAGCAACCCGATCAATTATTGATCGTGCTCATATTATACCCAAGGCGTGAGCTGGGGCCGATACATAACGGGGTCTTAAAAACGCTAAGCTTCAAGGTTCCACATAAGACCAAAAATACTCTATTAACAATATATACAGAAGAAGAACAAAAATAAAAAAAGAAGAAATACCAAAGATTATTTCTTGGCTCAAGACCAGTATAAAATACATAGTTCAAAACATAAAATTAACAAGCGATGTCAAGTATTTTCTTTTACAAGAAATAATCTTAATTCTCAAATCCAAAACTCTGAAATTCTTTAGTATAAAAAACATTATAGATTAACAGCAAAGCAAAAAGAACAGACTTAAAGAGAAAGCAGTATCGTATTAATTAACTCTCTCACCTTATACATAGCTAAAATTTGTTTTCTTGCTTTCTCTGCTCTGAGAATACAATAAAACAAAATATTGACTACGGACTCCGTTGCCTATGAATAGTCAGAAGCGGTATATTTCTGACAATATTCGTTGTAATAACCATGTTTTCATATTATTTAAAGCTAAAAGAGTAGACCTAAAAGAATTATACTTTATCTTTTATGTGATATTTAATTTATATCACAGTGGTCTCTCGATAATTTCAAAGTCAAAAGAGAGAGTAAGTGTCTTTAAATTATCGAATGACCACTGTAAATAATCTGAAATGACTGAATTGTTATTTCAATTACTCCTCTTAATAAAGGGATAAGGCTCGATTTCTTTAGTAGTATTCAATTATTAATTATTTTGTTTTTTTATTCTTATAAGACTACTATTTTTATACAAGGCTCTTGCAAAACTCGGGTTGAAAACGCTTTTTATGTTCTGCCCCATCATCTCCTTATAGAATGATAATTACTCATTCCCTTCAGAAATCAGTTTGATACTTTCATCTACCAGCTTACTCGTTTCAATAAAATCCGACTCTGTAATTCAAAATTCCGCCGCCTACTGTGATGAGATCCTAGTATACAGACATGCTTTTTACTTTATTTTTTGCTTTTTACTTACTAATTAATAGCGCTTTGAAATCTATATCGGTTTATTTTCTAGTAATTTCTGGATCTCTTTTGTATCTACTTTTATAAAAAAAGAAAAAAGAACTTTCTCTCGTGTTCTTGAACAAAAGGTGCACAGACCACTTTAGAGTAACCTACAAATCGCCGTTATAGAAACGTGTACTCCACTTTAAGAGTTATTGCTATACCGATTAAAACTAAACCCTTCATTACTCTTTTACTTCTTTGCTTCTTTGCTTTACTTTACTTCACTTTGCAATATTTTCTTGATTAAATTTTATCTGTCATTACTGCTTTCATAAAATATTTACACAGCCCTACTAAAAAAGAGTATACAGCTATGTCACTGCTCTGACGTGAGAGGCAAAAAAACACCCTGGCAAAAAAAAAGCGCAGTCCCAAACTTTAGTCGCAGACTGCGGGTATATCAAAATAAAGCCCATTCAACCAACACGGTTTTCTTCTCTTTAGCTTTTTTTATACTCTGGAGACGGGTACCCCCTGATTGCCTGTAGTTGAGTTTGACGCGCTACCTGTGGGTGATTGGGAGACATTCTTTTTCCATTCTGTGCAGGAAAAAGCGGAAGTGCGTCGTCTCTAGCTTCTTAGTTAATTCTTAGAGGCGCAGATCAACATTGTTCTGAATTGTGAATTTAATTGTATAATTTCTGAAACAATGGCGACGAGCAATGTTTAAAAAAAGCTGCCGCCGAGTTAGCATCATGAAAGTTTATTGAGTGGAGGACGGGGAAGAAGTGGAGTTTACTGCCGACTCTTCATGAAATCCTTGTTCGAAGCTCTCTGGAACTGACGGTGTTGCTTGGTAGTCGAACACGCTGGACCCTGCTACTTTGTGGTAGGTTTCTCTGGTACGTTCGCAGGCCCTTCTCAGTGATGAGATAGGGTAGTTGGGATGAACCCGGTTGTTGTCTTACGCCACGGATTAACACCATTCCCACACCTCCTTCGCTACCAAGTCAGGTTTACGTCCTGAGGGAGATTGAGCCGCGTAATGCGGGGACAAAGAACTTGGTGTCATGCTTTTTATTCTTTTACATTAGTAAAAGAACATAAAGTGAAATCATATAAAATAAAATAGCTTCTCTATGTATATATTTAATAAATAAATAAAATAATTTTTAAACTGTTGTTGACTCTAATAAAAAAATACGCGTTCAAACTTTTTTTTACTTGATTGAAGAGGTTAATGTTGTAATTAGAAAGTCTCCTTTATAAGAAGAATTAATCTAGTTAAATAAATCTGAAGATTAATATAATATGTATGCTCTTATCATTGTGTTGATTACTGTATTTGATTGTATATGGTGGTTTTGTTTATAAGATCTATAAGAAAAATTCGGAATGCTTTTTGAGAATGCCAATGGCGCAAAATGTATAACTGAATTTGACTAATCCGGGGTGACATTGTAAAGAGGACGCATTGTAATGGGAGAGAAAAAGAGAAAGAGAAGAGTGCAAAAAAGCGAAAGCGAAAGACGAGAAAAAATAGGTCGCAAGCCTTATTAGGGTGTTTCAGCAGTTTTAGATGTTTAGATTTTACTTTTGCGGTAACTCAATACGTGAGACAATGATAATTGATATGAAAATAAAGCTGTAGAAAGCTTTCGTATTTCCTTTTGCTCTTAATTTTATTTTCTTATGAAATATTCATAGGCAAAATTGGAGAATCTAAATTTGCATTCTATAAACAACTAAGGGTAGTCCTTAGTTGTTTATAGATTGAAAATATCTCAAATTTAGATTAGTAAGAGCCAATCATTTAACAAATTAAACCACCGCAAAAGTAAAATCTAAACATCTAAAACTGCTGAAACACCCTATTATAGATACAGTATTCAGTAATCCAAGTGTACTTTTTTTAGATTAATCTGACCACCCCAATATTGATATTAAATGTTTTTTAATAGCATGATAGTAGTAAAGGCAAATGAACGCGTACTAGTCCCATCCACCAACACCCAATCCAGTTCCTTCTTCAGTATCATTCTTGCTGTCTCCAGCTTCCAGCATTGCAACAATGTCAACACCAGCCTTCTTTACCTCCTTCTTCTTCTTGCTTTTATCTACAATAGAGACTACACCGGTCCGAGCGGCAGTAGCAGGTGTGACAGGCAAAGACACAGGCGGTGTGATAGATGTTGCTTTTTCAATTGTTTCAGATACCTTTTCAGCACGTATAACCTTCTTTGATACCGGTTTTATTTCCTCAGCCTCGAAGAATCCCTGTGCCTTCTTCTTTTTCGGTTCGGTGGGGTTTGCCTTTACTTTTACAGCTTCTGCTGCCGCCTTTTTCTTTGGCTTCTTTGCCTCTAAATCTCCAGATTCTTCTGTAGAACCTGCAGAAGAAGCGGCAAGAGCGAGGGCCTTTCTCTTTGGCTTCTTCGTAACCTTGTCATCAGATCCTTCGGTAGAATCCGCAGAAGAGGCGGCAAGAGCAAGAGCCTTTCTCTTTGGTTTCTTTGTAACCTTTTCATCAGGTCCTTCGGTAGAATCCGCAGAAGAGGCGGCAAGAGCAAGAGCCTTTCTCTTTGGCTTCTTTGTAGTCTTGTCGCCGGATTCTTCGGTAGAAGAGCTGGATATCTTTTTCTTAGGTCTCTTTTCTGTCTCATCTGCGGTATCCCGTTTCTTTCGCTTCAGTGGTGTAAGTGTACCGTTATCTTCTGCTTCCTGTTCCTGTTCCTTTTCAGCTGCTGCCTCGAGAGAGCGAAGCTTTTTGTGGCGCATCTTCTTAACTGGTGGTTGTGCTTCTTCGCCATCAGCTCTATTTTCTTCCTCTTCCTTTGTCTTTTTCTCTCTCTTCAGCCTTTCCTTCTTTTCCATCAATTTGAAGTTCTTCTCTTGTTTGTTTTTTCTTTCCAGGAATTTGAAATCGAATCTTTCTCCATCGAGAATGCGCAAAGATGGCAATAGCTCGATGATCTATAAGTCAGTTTACTTAATTAGCAATATACTTTATTGAAAATTGTATAAGTGCTGTCATTTTTTCCCTTACCTTTTGTCTATAATCAATCTTCTCCGAAATCGGATTACCCTTTAAGTTTAGATTGTGTAATGCAAGTAAAGAACCCAAAGCGGCAATATCACTGACACATTACAAGAATAAGTTGATTGATATGTAAATGTACAAACACAATAATTGACTTATTCACCTCCATTTCGACAGCTTGTTGTTTCCAAAATCTACAATCTCCAGTGATGTACATTTACGCAAGGTGTCAGGCAAGGTAGTGATTTCATTGTCGTTTAATCTAATTTCTTTAATTGCTGTCTGAGTGGATAGGTCAGGAACTTGAGTAAGATGGTTGTGAGCAGCAGAGAGCTTTGTGAGCTCAGTCAAATCAGAAAGAGTTGGGATCGTTTTGATCTGGTTGTGGGACAAAACTAAACATTGTTGCATAATAATTAATATAACTGTAGGGACATTTTACAATCTGTTTTCTTTTTTAATCTACCAATTGTGTTCAGGTTCTTCAATCCTTCAAGGTTTTCTACAATCTTGATCTCATTGTGATTAAGAATAAGTGCCTTGAGTTCTTCGAGCTTCTTAATATGAGGACTGATTCCAACCAGCTTATTATGGCTGGCATTCAATACTATTTTTAATGGTTTTTATATGTTAGTAAAAAAACAAACAAACTTTTTAAAAAAAAAAAGGTAAAAAAGGTTCGAGATACATACCAAATAAGCTCTTTAAATGTTGAAATCCGCTCAAATCACTTAGTTCATTGTTTGCTACACTTAACCAAGTGATATTTTTAAGATTCTTGAGTCCTTCGACAGATTCTTCATTCGAAAGAGAATTTTTGGCAAGATTAAGTTTGCGTAAAGATTTGCAGCTGGAAAGATCCCCGATCTGAGTGATTCCTTTGCCACTAGCATTAATCTCAGTGATCTTTTCAATAGGATTTTTGTTCCACTCTGAAGCGAGAGTTGTTGTAAGTTTCATGATGCTGTGGGAAAATAAGTGATCAAACTTGAATGTTTTTTTTTGTTGATTCTACTCTACGAACACTGCAAAAGAATGGTGATTTCAGTTTAATTTTTATTTTTGAATTTTTAACAAACAGAGAAACTGTTTCCAACTCAGTCGTTTTCAGAATTTATTCTTTTTGAGATATGAATTCGCAATTTTCCCTGACTATATTAAATAAACACAAATATAATCACAATTATTTAGCAATTAAGCAGTAAATCACAGTTGTTGTTTTTTTAAAAAAAAAAAAAAAAACACATATATATTTCGTTTGGCTCAATATATATATAATAAAGTATATATAAAGAATTAAAGTAAGATACCAAATATTATTTTTCTAAAGGGAACCTCTTTATATTATACTATTATGAGTAGACTTGAAAATACATCTTTAATACTATGACTTTAGTACAAAGATCCATGTCATTTTATTTTCTAAAGAATTGATTTATTTATTTTTTGTTTGGGATAATTAATAAGGTTTTTTCTTAACACCATTACACTGGATTTCTTCTAATGAAAAGGGGTGGATATACATTCTTTGAAACTGTGCAAAAAAGATCCAAAAGTGTTCTATAACAATGTTGTGATATAATTTTATTTCTCTTTGTTAGCTTCTGCTATAACGTAGCTTCCGTCCATTTCCTCCTGTTCCTTTGATTCACTTTCATCTCCTTCCACTTTATCTTCTACTTTGTCTATATCCTCTACTTTTTCACCGCATCTCAAGCATGGCCATTCCCCGCCAAAAACAGATACTTTGGTTTGAATACAGTAATAACAGTAGATGTGTCCACAGTTGGTTTTGTAGGGATTATGAACAGTGTAATCCTGTGCTTGTCCAATTGCACCTGTATGAGTATCTGCCGAAGAATTATCATGACAAATTGCGCACTGGTTTACTGGGAGTCTATCGTATCCCTTGGAGGACACCATATATGATTTCGGAAACAACATCCGCGTAACTCTCAGTTTCAATTTTTCAATATTAATTAAAGGTACCAAGAATAGTAAGAATTCCTTAAGATATCGCATAATTTATAATAATGAATGTTAGTAAATCCCAAAATTCAAATGAAAAGAAACTACTTTTAAATTCTCAAACTTACTGTAAATGCATGCCAGACCATTTGCCTGTTCAAAAACTCGAAGCTGACCTGGCGATTCATAGATTTCTTTGAGTATACGAGTCGCATGCCTAAGATCCGATCAAGCAGAGTTCTGTACCTAGATGCACACAAATAAGCAGATAGTATCAGATCAATAAATTACATGTCTGACTTCAATTGCTATTGACCTACTTTCCACTATACAAGAATACGAGGAAGTTAACAAGAGAGAGCGCCTTCCAATACTTTTCTCCTGCTTGCAGTACACGGTAAATCTTGTTACGGATATCCGACTTTTATTCCATTTTTTATTAAAAACAAACAAACATGTGATATATTAAAACAAACACCACACATATCTTATGCATAATCTATTTTTGTATCTTGCAGTTCTTACTTCATCAAGTTCACCCCAGCCTCTGGAAGTCACCAATCGGCTGGTCCGGGTCCAAGCGTATTGTCCTCCTACACTTAGTACACCATATATAATTTTTTGTGTCTTTGTCAAAGGAGCGTCCTTAGCAATAGATTCTACTGTTCAGTCTGGTTAGTGATTATAAGCCACTTGACAGTATAAAAGAACTTACATGGTCCACCATGCTTCCATTCATTGCGGTATTTAAGATTTTGTAATTGAGCACCATATGTAGCTGATGTATCATAGATGGACAGTTTGAATAGAGCAAGATTCAAAAGTGCAAGGAGTTCAGGTTCGATGGACTCTTTAAAGGCAGGCTATTTTTTTTTATTTCATTTTTTTACAAGATCAGCTTGTAGCTTGTGAAGTTGAGATCTCTTACGTTGAAGAGTGAGAGAGCATTCCAGAGCTGTTCTTTTAAGATCGTAAAAAGTTCACTATCGAGAATATCGGAATCTAGTTGGCTCACACGCATGACCTTAAGTGAGGATGTCTGGAGGGATGCCATTGACCTCCGGACACTCGAAAGAGCAGGCTGGATGTTCTTCCAGTCCAACTGCCATTCTTGTTGAGGTGGTTGAGAAGGTAATCTAGACATTATTATGTTTTATGTAAAATGATAGAAAGAGACGGTAAATGCTGACACCATGGTATTCTTTATTTTCACGTGCCGCCATGTAAAGTTGTAAAGTGTGGGGGTGTCTGGGTATGAAAGAAGAAAGAGAGAAAGAGAGAGAAAGAGAAATAAAATGACTTGAGAATGAGTGCCATTCGATAAACAAATGAAAATGGTATACATAAGAAACAAAAGAAAAGAAAGAGAAAAATAAAAAGAAAGATAAAGATAAAGAAGAATGCATGAGTGGTTGTAAGGATATCTATTACTTAAAGTCAAGTCCCAAGGATACACCAAGAGCCATACCAAAGGAGAGCCGAGGCAGTTTTGGTGGCTCTTCTTTTGCTTTCTCTTCCCTGCGACGACTAAAGTGGTCAATAGGCGGGAGATTCTCTGGTATAGCTGGTAATGGCTCTGGATCTTCCTCATCGCTATCATCGACATAAAGCTTAGTGAGCCGTTTTGACATATCGGGAGCAGCACGCCTTGGATTTTGTGGAAGGTTGGGAGTATCAGTTGGAAGGGGCGGTAATTTGGCATTGAGGTAATGATTCTTGACAGCACATGCATCGTCCAACTGCTGAATGCCAATTCGGCACATTGTGTCTCCTTCAGGATCAAGTATGGAAGATGTGCGCATGTCTTCGGTAACACTTGTACTCGCATAGGCTTCATCTATTACTAAAGACGAGACGGAAGAAAGTACTAAGCGCCTTCGAAGCGCATATGTAGTCCGGGGGGAAAGAACAGTTGAAGAGGCTACTGTGGCCATTGCAGGCGACATGGCACCAGGTGGTGAATTAATAAATGATTCCTCAACAAGTGAGAAATGGGTTTCTTCGTGGGATTGGAGGGGTATCGTTGCAGGAAGACCTGGAGCAGGACTAAATACAGGTGAAGGCGGTCTAGACAGGAGTGTGAGACGGCTAGGATTGGAAGATGCGGTTGCAGAAGAGCTTAGACTGGGGGCGTTTTTACTGGTGTAAGAAGCTTCAGATACCACAGAATGGTTATCTGTCTCATCTTCGTCGTCATCAAACAGTTCATTGGCGATATAATACTTGCTTCTACCAAGACTACCATAAGGAGGATCTGGTTTTGCCAATGGAGGTCCAGAGGATGCTGCCATTACTTCAAGCTTAGGTCGTGATTTTTCTCTGATTCCAAGGCTATTATAATGCTGCTTTACTTGGTTGTGTAAATCTCTCATATCAGCAGCAGGAAGGACGTCAGAGCTTCCGGAACTTTTGAGCTGTTCCATTTTTACGCCTTTTTGTATTCGTGATTTCCCTGTGTTGGCAAGCTCGATATCAAGTGGAGGAAGAGATTTTTTCAGCTTCTCTCGGCGCATGGCAGATGTGGGTGTGGTTGTTCTTGGACGTTCGATTATTTCGCGTGCCTCCTCTCCGCTTTCTTCATCTCCATCATCCCGCGAGGCAGTACTGAGATCAAATGCAGATGCAAATTTCTTGAGGGTTCTTTCGACAACGATAGGCTTGTTTAAGCTCGGTAAGTCCATTTCAGAAAAACTTTGTTCGACAAATGTGGGTTTTTGCCGAGGAGGAGGTTTGAGAAAAAGCGCTTTATCTTCCCGGAATACACTGGCTTGAATTCCAGAAGTCATACTGTCGATCTCCCCTCGTTTGGACTTCATTTCTGGCCCAAACTCAACAGACTCGTACCGAGGTTGAGTTTCAAAGTGGTACCTTGGCCATGGTACACCATTTTCAACTAGCAATGGTATAGAATGACTGCTTTTGGGAACCGAGGCTACAATTAGAGGAATCTTTGCACGCACGGTTTCGTACTTGTGTTCAAACAAGAAGGTTACTTCTAATTGGTGGTAGATTGATACGAGAGGAGATTCTAGCGCATGGACTAGTTGAGGATGTAGTGGATGGCTGATAACAAGGGGTCGCTTCCAGGTAGAAGATTTGATGGCGTTGACGTTGTGTATTAATGCTGGCACCGTGCGTTTGACAAATTTAGTGTAACTTTTGTTGTTCTTGATAGTGTCGCTCATCTTCTGGTTATCTGTTTCCTTGGTTCCATGAGCTTGCATATCACATTCTGACTTTGGAATGGCCTGGCATCTTTACTTTCCAAGTTCCTTTGGTGAGAAATTTCGAATTTCAGGTAAAAAGGAAACGAGCCGAGAGACAAAGCCTACCTGTAATATTCTATTTGAATCAATTGGGTCCGAATGCTACGCACGAACTTCTGGCTGGCAAAACATAGGTATTGGATCGCTATAGGTACACTGCCCTGATCAATACAGACAATCTGAGGAGCATCGATTTCGTAGTGAAATTTGGCTGGAACTGTGCTTTTATACACCCGTGTTTCCACCAAGGGAGCAAGTTCGCAGCTCGGCAAGAGATGTCGTTGAATTACAATAGGATATGTGGCGGTTAAGGTTTTGTGAAGATTTACAGAAATTGAGAGCTCGATCTTGTAGTCAATCGAGGCGCGTTTCATGTCTGTTGTTCGGGGGTATATATTGGGAATCTCAAGATCCCAAGAGACGACATGGTCACCCGCTGGTAAGGTAGTCTTTCCGAATAATGGCCGTTTAAGCTTTGGAAGTAACGGCATGCTGATCTCAACTGGATTACCTGAGGTGATAAATTGGACTCGGCTAAAGCCCTTGAATTTTACAGTCATACTACGAATTTTAACCGACTTTGTTAAACTGAAGCGTGCTTCGCCTCGAAGAACTCGAATGTTAGATCCTGTTGAGGAGAGGGATGCAGGCTGGGCTGGCCCCATGAACTCAAGGTAATCTTCCAAAGGCTCAATCGCAATGGATTTGAATCCATCTTTTGGTGCAGCAATGTTCATGAGGCAGATCATATAAATGAAAAAGGAACAGATGGTGAGGCTGTACCAATACTCTTAATAGCGAAGCTATGAAGTACAGAAAAAAAAGGGTGTCATTTGGGCGGCGCGCTCGTTCGTTGCACCGGCAGGTGTCTAGTCCCACATTGGGTCTGGCATAAAAATTGTCCTTCTCAATCAACCACAAAAGAGACAATTGCCTATTCGGACTAAACGAGCAACATGAGGCGCGTGTTGTTCTTCGCATTGATCGCAATTTATTGCATCGCATGCCCCTACACCAAAGTAGAAGAAAGTTTCAATCTCCAGGCTATTTATGATGTCATGCATGGAATCCCTCTCTCAGACTATGATCATTTTGACTTTCCCGGGGTTGTTCCTCGAACATTTGTTGGTGCCACTATACTTGGACTTCTTAGCCGTCTAATCCGACCTTTTTTTGTTGGTGAATGGATCTCTACTCGGGAACAAGTCATTCCGCGTCTCATTCTTGGAGCAATGGTCTCCGTGGGAATGGGCTACTTTGAAAGGTCTGTACGTTTGCTGTTGGGGAAACGTACGTCTACTATTTTCATGATTCTCTTATTCTGCCAGTTTCACATCGTATTTTGGTCTAGTCGTACTCTTCCGAATACCCTTGCTTTACCTTTGGTACTCTTAGGCCTGTCTCATTGGATTCTTAGTATGACAACCCGTGCCAATCGCACTACCCAACTCACGCTCATGATTCGCTACCTAACATTCACTGGTCTTGTCTTTCGATTCGAGGTCGGCATTCTTCTAGCAATTATCCTCGTATTTGAATGGGCTTTATATCGCCATATCACTTTCCGCACCATCATCATCCAAGGTGCCCTTACTACCGTAGTCTCCTTAGGTTTAACTATCCCAATAGACTCTTATTTTTGGCAGCGATGGGTCTGGCCAGAAGGCAGTGTATTTTTCTTTAATGCAATTCTCAACAAAAGCTCTGAATGGGGCACGCTGCCTTTCTATGCTTACTTTGTTAATTTCTTGCCGCGTGTGCTGATGGTCAGCTACCCTCTTGCCCTGATGGGATTTTTTACCGACCGTCGTATTCGTGTTCTACTTGCTCCCGCTTTGGTATACACTGGTTTATTCTCAATGCTTCCTCATAAGGAATGGCGATTTATTATGTACACTATTCCGATTTATACCACAGCAGCTGCCTTTACAGTCAGCAAATTATCACTAAAAGCGAGACATTCCATGTACGCCACTGTGTCTCTGGTGGGTGTGGCGGGTGCTTTGGTAGTCTGTTTTTGTGGGTCTATTATGATGCTATTGGTTTCAATGAAGAATTACCCCGGGGGTGAAGCACTGTCCGTCATGAACAACATGCCACTACAATCAGCCTCGATTCATCTGGATGTCTTGACGGCCATGACGGGAGCATCGAGATTTGGACAAACTCACTCATTATGGTCCTATCACAAGGACGAATCACATCGCTCGATTGATGACTATCTAGAGGCAGAGTATACACATTTGATTTCTGATACACCGCTCAACAACACGCCTTTCGAGATTATAAGTGTTACCTATGGACTGGAAAAAATCAAGCGAAAATCACCGCGCATCTATTTACAGAATATTATGTCGATCTTTGGCAAGGACTGGTCTTGGGAAACATTACTTCCCGTAGAAATTGAATTAGAACCTAAATTGTACATTTTTCAGCTTTCACATCCCCAAAAGGTGTGGGTGGACTACAAAATACATCACAGTTCTGTATTAATATACAGCAAGTCCTATTGGTAAGTCAAGTGTATTGTAATCGAATATTGAATTATTAAAGTGTAACCCATTCTTAAGTCCTTATTGCAAGCGAGCCAAGGAAATCTTGAACAAGTATTGCCCACACCAGTACCAGGTGGTTGAGATTGATCTACGACAGGACGGTAGGGAACTTCAGGCAGCACTTATTGAGAGAACTGGTCGTCGTACTGTTCCAGCCATTTTTATGAATGGGAAAATCATTGGAGGATCAGACGATTTGGCTGCCTTAGATAATCAGGGCGTACTAGAACCCCAATTACCGTGCAACCTCCATTACTTACAATGAGAGTATGTTATTTAATGCAGCAATATTGTATAAATGATCATTGTAAATGGACTTTTTTTTATCATTTTTTCTTATTTTGGTCCTGAAATGTACATGTAGTCCGAGCACTATACTCTTCAAAATTGGTTTGTACTATTTTAAACACAGTAATTGATATCAAAAAAATAAATAAATAAATTTTGCGACCAATAAAAATATACTTTGTGGTATTGATAAAAATAATTGCGACCACAAAATCAAATATAGATGTTACATCCAACAAAAGCTATAATATTATTTCAATTGAATGAGTGTTGAAGTCAAAAGGTCAAGCCAATGTCTAATAGACTTTTAGCAAATATTAATGCCAGAAATCGTTGAATTCTTTATTAGTTTGTCTAACTAAAAAAAAGCTATTGCCTTTTCAATATTTGCAACTAAAAGAAAATACCAAACCAAATATAAATATTATTCTGTGTTAATGAAAAAGTCGTGTTAGTATACAGAATGCTTAATTAAATAAGCAGAACAGGAATTTGTAAATATTATACTTAATTTAGGTTTATAAATAACATGCTTGTTAGATTGACAGACAGCTTGTAGCTATATTTACTAGTTTTGTTCCTTTACTAAATTAAGCGAGACTAAAATAATATATAATATAGTTACTCTGGCATATTTCTATATTGTGTGTATTTGTTGGATATTTGTTTATTATTCATTTTTGAGTCAAAAAAGTACTCAAATTGCTCAACAATATTCTTTAGTTTTTGTAACACATTTTTGAAAGTACTATGCTCATCCTTTCTGGCAAAGAAGATCGGCTGATGCTTCCGTTGCTTCACTAAGAATAAAGCCATGATTTTGATATTCTTTCTTAGATTATAAGCTTTTCTTGATAAATAGTTCGATGGCGCGGGATTTTAGTATGCGATTACTTTAGGCATCATATTTTCCTTGAGTATGTCTGCTGATGGTTAATCGTACTATTGAGTAACCATTAAAGTAATATCAAATCAACTGAACTCTGTGAAATGCATTTTGATTGTACTCAGGATCTGATTCCAAGGCCAATGGTAGTTGATTTTATGGAGTACAATGAAATTTACAAATTGCTCCATTAGATCATTCTCATTGCTGATAAACATGAAAGCTAGAAAGCATTGATGCAGTACACAGTCTATTTAACACATATTTAATAAAGTCAGTGACAGCTCTCACGCCTTGCAAGTATTGTCTTACAATTTCCCATGTTAAATAAAAGTATAGTACTTTAACACTGGTTATGTTCTTTGATAACTTACAATACCCTTTGGGTTTTCCAGACTTTTCATGGATATAAAGACAATACTAGCATGTACAGATATTTCATGTATTTATTTACCTTTTTTACAAACTTTATTACTTAAATTTAATTGTGTTATTTAGTATATTCCCTCTTCAAGTTTCTGGCTGTACTATTTTTACAACTGCCCGTGTTTTGTGTACTTACTCGTCATATGCTTAATTTTCCTTCAGAATATCAAAAGTAGAAAAACTGGAATTAGATCGAGACTAATAATATTTTTTCTTGTGCTGACTATATACAATTTCTGTTGCTTTAAACCTTACACTCAAAAATTAAAACAAGTGTTAACAGAATATAATCTTTGTTTTAGTGATAGACTCTAATATATAAAAGACTATTTTAGTATATACATTAAGTCTTTGAAAATACAGGTCGCACGTAAGAGTTACCAACTGCTATTAATGGATAATATTTTCCAATTAACAGTACAAAAAAGTATTTTCAAGGTATTATAAGTAACATATTAGCCAGTTATTATTTTTACATAACTTCCACTCTATTTTTTACTTAAATATAAAAAAGTATTGAACATTTTATATTTCAAAAATTGGGATTTACATTTTCAAAGTGTGCGCTTTGTATAGTCTGTTTTACTGGTTTCTCAGTCTGGATTTGAAGTAGAAATTCTGTAGTTTGTATCCGCACAGACACAGATCAAGGATAATTCCAAGGAAAGCATATTTTGACATTACAAGTAAAGTACCTGCGTTGCGATACAAAGCTTGTACTCATATGGTATTTATACCAAATGGATGCAGTATTTCCTTTAAAAGGAACTTTTAGTATTTTGTCTGATATCTTAATCGTATGTCAATGATATATGTATTGGTAAGTATAATAACACAAATTAAGCACACTTTTCTTTTTTTTCTCAAACTTTATTATACTCTTTTTTGGCCTTATACCATTTACAAGCCGGCAATCTTACGGGTACGACGTTTCTATCTAACCGGACCAATTCATTGCGACTGACTGCCTGGGATACAGGTTCTTTATCTAATCCTTCAGAGCAATAAGGTGTGTCCTGAAAAAATACAATATATTCATTGTACGCATTAGCATACTACTTTGTCCCCACAATTTTTGTGTTCATCAATCTCTCCTCGGGTACCTAACTCGCGTCCTTTTAAGAGTTGCAGTTTGTCTTTGGGTAATTTAATAATAAAATGCTGTCTCATCCAAAAAAAACTTGTATATTCAATTAATAGCCGTTTGCGCCGTAAATTTAGACTTGACAATAAAAAAGGGGCTAGTTCCAAATACACTATATTAATAACCAGTTACGCAGAAGTTTATAAGAACGTATTGTCATTACACCCTTTGTGACGCAACCTTGTTAGATATCTTACTATTTATTGGTCTTCTTATGCGCATCGTGCCTTTGTCTTTCATTCGTCTATTGTATCCACAATACCAGAGTTTTACAGCACCAACTGGTAAGTAATCCCAATCCACCATTTTATTTTTATTTTTCAAAGCACAAATAAAAATCTTGATACGAATAGTTTGTATCCTGGCTTGTATTAATTACTATAATAAGACTCAATTCTTAGGGACCAGATATAGTTATTCCACGCTGGTAAAAGAATCATAATTTGTAATCTGGTAGAATTAAAATATCGTCCTCCTAAAGTTAGCGTTGAAAAATACAATAAAGCGAAAGTGCCAAACAATAAAAAAGAATCAAAAGGTGACTCTATTCAACATGCCCTATGTCCCAGAAAAGAGGCATAAATGCTTAGAGCTCTATTAAATGAATATATATCTTTTATTTATTCTTAGTATTTATTGATATTGCCAATGCACACAGTGTTCAGCCTTTGAAGCCGTAATTTAAGAAATGATAAAATTACAGTGAAGGAGAAGGGATAGATGAACGCTAGCAAAGTGGTATTGAGGTCATGGGATCTTTGTATAGCAGCAGCCGCCTTAGCTGCGACTACATTAGGGATGAAGGAGGGAATTATCAAAGACAAGCTTCCAGTGTGCGCGCCAGATTGTGTGCGCCGTGATGGACGCGATCACAATCTGAAGAGAGTAGGAGACGTAAGAAGGTGAACACTATATTAAATAAACTCTTTAGAAATTTGCATATATAGAGAGAATTCTGGAATTTTTATTCCTCATTACAAGACTTTAATTGTAGTCACATCAATTGTGTGCCTTCTATAGTGTGTTTTGCTGTATTCATAAGATCCACCCCATTTAAAATGCATTTCCATTCTAATGACTCCGCTAAATCACGTATCCCACATTATCCAATTATTTCTTGAGTGTGATATAAACAATCTTGTATTTTACGTGGTATTACACCTTTAACCTTTGACCTTAACCCATATGTTTGTTAATTCTACGACTTTATATATCTTTCAGGTCTTCTTAAAATAACCTTATTTATTATAGAGTAGATATTATATCAATTAACGGTGATATTTATCATTAAATAATATAATACAAACATCAATGACAATTCTAACGAGGAAATCATTTTGGTGCAAATATCTTTATTAGGTTATTAGTCACGATCTTCTTGCCAAGTTTGCATATCCTAGTTTGACAGCTCTAATTGTTGTAACCAGTATAATATGCAATATTCCGCCCTCCTACTTGATGTGAAACGCAATCAAATATCAGTTTCGTTCGAGGAAGCATCATTCAAGCATGTCAGCACATATCCACATCTGTAAGGAGGAGTATTTGTTCCTCTAGACTTCAAAGAAGAAAAGCGGTCCAAATGGGGTGTTTTTTTTTTCAAAAAGCATAGCCCAACTTAGTTTCCACCCATACGTCGCATACGCTCTTCAGCTGCCCTAGCCCGCTTTTCTCTCTCTAGGCGTACACGAGCTTCCGGTGACATGTTTGCCATGTTTCCCTGGCTTCCAATCAATGCTTTTGCGACCAAAACGTTGGCCTTGCCTCGCTTCCGTACTTCTTCCGCAGCCTTTTGTTCTCGTTCTCTGGCTTCTTCCTCAGCTTCACGTCGGAGACGTTCCTCTTCAATAAGTCTGATTTTCTCTGCCTCCTTTTCTTTCTTTATTCGCTCCTTTTCCAATTGTTCCTCCTCGGCCTCCAGTGTAAGTGGACTGGGCACACGTGCCTCTTCAAGCCAGGCCCACTTGTCAGGAAGTTCATGCATACAGCGGCGGAATACACTGCGGATGGTCTTATCTTTGGCAACTTCATATGGTGTCTTACCACCTTCACTTTTGACGGTAGGATCAGCGTGAGCTTCCATTAATAAAGATTCGACTAATGAACGATGGCCGTAATGAGACGCCATGTGAAGCAAAGTCGGGAACCGCCCATTATCTTCTGCAGTGATATAACTTGGCAAAATACTAGATACATTGATATCTTTGTGCTTGCTGAGATAAGAGAAAATCACTGATGTCTTTCCCTGTTTCACAAGTCCGGCCAGCTTTTCGAGCTCTGGAGAAGCCTCAGCTTTTGGTTTTGTAGATGAGGTTGTCGGCTTTTGCTGCTTTGATTTTTCCAGAAGCTGTCTTGCTTTTTCTTCCTTTTCGATGGCTTTGTTCTTGTGGGCCAGAATAGCTTCTTCATCTACCTCAATTACCTTGAATGTGCTAATCTCCAGGAACACGCGTTTTAATTCACTCAATGTGGGCCGTTTGGTAACAAAAGGAATGGTCTTGACAGCCGGATTTTCTTTTGTCAGTACGGCATTCTCATACCCATACACAATCTTTCGGTTGTTGCTTGGAGCATGAACTAGTACAAGTTCGCTTCGGTCAATATAGCTTTTCCACTGAGAAAGTAACTCTCTGACTTCCTACAATTTAATTTCATGCGTCAGTAACCTGTATTTTTGTGTAAATTTTTCTCTCTCTCTCTCTCTCTCATTTACCTTTTGCAACAATTGCTCGTTGTAGCGTCTAATTTGAGCACCGGCAGAATTGGCCTTTCCCTTTGCGTTATCGTTAGAAGATTGGGCACCACCTTGCTTTCTACGCGCTATGAGTTGGGATAATATCAAAAAATTAACATCTTGCTCTTCTTATTCTACACCGGCTATATATGTGTGTGTGTATAGTTATTAGATGACACATACTGGTATAACGGTGGAATGTTTTGTGTGTGACAAGTCTGACTTGTTTTTCAACAGAAGGCTCTGAAATTCCCTTGCTCTGATTGACATCCACGACACATCCAGCAAAATGACCTCCACCCAACATCAAAATAGTCCAGTATCGAGGCTTCTTCTCATAATTTTTACTTTGTAGTGCTCTTACAGCTGCAATATCGGCTGTTTTTGTCGAAAACAAAGTACGGTAGATACCAAGATGGATCGATCCGGATAATAGCGGCTTGGCATTAAACCACACCATGGCGGAGTAACGCTTCTGGAGGAGCGATCCCTCTTCATTGGGATTCTTTGTAATATCGTGGTCAGGTAAGACTGATTTTTGTTTTCCAACCAAGGCATTTACGCGATCGTGGGCAACTTCGGTATCGCTTTCTTCGTCAGTATCCTCTGAGTCAGTTCCTGAAATACTGTCACTCAAGTCTAGATTGAAGTTTAAAAAAATTGTGCTTTATTTATATAAATGTTTTTATTCCTTACCAGCCAAAAGTTTTTCAAATTCAATGAGGGAGACAGGGGTGGTGTCCAAAACAAGTCTTCGCTTGATGTTATAACGATGCCAATCAGTGTTGTAGTGCTTTCTGTGTTGTTCGCGCTCAGTACTAGTAAAAGTGATATCACAAGTACGGCAAGTCAATGTGTCCTGGTCTTCGTTGATCTCTAGACGCTGGAGAGCCTGGCTAGTGACAAGGGCCTGCTGTTTCCATTCTATTTGGACTTCTGTTTCTGTTTCTTGGTCCACTGCTACAAGAGCAGAGAGTAGTTCTTCTGGAAGGGAGAATACGCTGAGGGGTTTTTGTTGGATTGAGATTTGAAGGTCTGTCATGAGAAAGAAAGGTAAAGAGCGGGTGTTGCTCTAATTTGCATTCTGCGTTCGGTGAATTTAAGGGAGCGCGATTTAACTAGTTTGTAAGCCATCAATATATAAAAATAACAATAGGGCCAAAACTCCAATTGTTGGTCTTCCGGATTGGCTGAAAAAAAATGTATTTGTTGCGGTCCAATAACATAAAGATAAAAACTCCTTTTGCCGCAGCAAAAATTAAAATTAAATCCCCCAAAACATAAAGCACACCACTGGTGAGCACCAATTCCAAATGCATACAAACAACCGAGCCGCAGTAGTAAATACGACGCAGCTATTAAACCAGGTACATCATTTTCGGCTAAAAGCTACGTAATAAAACTTTACATTAATAATAGCTTATATTTGGACCTCTTTTATAGACTTATATGTATTAATAATCCCATTAAACGATTTTGTATCTTGGACTACAAAGAGTTATATGCATATTAAAATAATTAGATTGTCGCTAATAGTAAAAAAGAAAAGGAACTTCTTTAGAATATATATGAGCTTTTCTAAGTAGTAACAAGGTTGAGTATGGATTACAAAGCCATTGTATTTCAATGTAGGACATATAGCCAAGTTTTAATAATTTTTATAGAAAAATAAACAGGTAATTTTAAAGATGTTAGGTATCTAAGAACGATAGACTTATCAATGGGTGCGATCTTGAAATAGCATTCATCACTTTAAAATTATGTTGAGATATTTCAGAAGAAATTTGAACTTGGTGAAGATGAGTAAGTATCTGTTTATCTCAAAAGTTTAACTGAAATGTTTTTTATTAGGTATATTTTTACGACATAATATGGATTACTTTTTCTATAATCATTGATATAGCACATCGGTAGTGAATAAGGTTGGTGTGGACAGAATAAAAGTTCAAAAAAAAAAGGTAAAACAACTTCATCCAAAACTTAGTCAATCAGACCAATTTATGATTGTCCATACCTTTTTTTTAAAAAACAAAAAGTTCAAAATTAGTTCAAAATACATATTAGATAAAATTGAGCCCATATTCCCGTCTCTGTCATTAAGTGAAAACCTTATTGTGAGTTTTTCTAGACCTCTCATTATATGGTACATCTCCATAAAAAATGGTTCTCTTCTCAATCCTTGTGGCCATGGAAGAATACTAGCTAATTAAAATCGATTAAGAAATGTGCCCTTTTTTGAATCTTCAAAAAAAAAGGGCAAAATTAATTAAAACTCTTGACAAATGATAAGACTTAAATTATTGCTTTTTTTTTGAACTTTTAGTCTATCCACACCAACTATAATATAAAATTTAAAAAGAAAAAGTTCAAAAGAAAAATCTTTTTTTTAATAGATATACACTTTTTCCGGAAATTATTGGTGCAAAAATAAAAATAAATTTGGTGCAAAAATGGAATGCACCAAATTTTATCTTTGTTTTTGCACTAAATAATTTTTTATTTTTGCACCAATAATTTCCGGAAAAAGTGTATAGCGATTTTTTATGTTAAAAAAATATGAATACAAATTTTCATAGTTACATTTATTTTCATTTATTTAATTGATTGGGAGCCCCCCTCGGCGTCACATTGCAACAGTGTAAAGCAAAGGACACCTGTGGATTCAAGAGATGGCAAGCCAGAGCTCTAGATTCCGGGCGCAGAAAAATTAGATTAACAACAAATGGTACTATGTACCAAGTTATAGTTGTTAAACTATAAAGAACAGATACTACACTTGATCTTAGCCAAAAGGCCTGAGAGGATGCGGTTTCATGAGTCCTCAAGATTGCTGCCTTTTTATACCTTTTCAAAATTACAAAATCTTAGTTTGAAAATTTTCTTTAACAGTCATTCTTGAATGTGATTGGTTCTAATGTTATGCGAAGTACCCGACATATTTGCTGGTCACAAAGACAGTCTGGGAACCACAAGGACAAGATTTTTGGACCCGAATCAGCTATTTTTTTTTTCCAAATTTTTGCTTTTTGAGGAAAATTTAATGGGCGCCGTGCAAGTATCGAAATGATGTACAGCTGCATACAAATTTGCATTAATTCGCGAACCTAGCTCACTACCTATTAGTTTCTCTTTCACTCAAATACATTCCAAGTATCCAATAACAAAGCTATTCAAATTAATAGAATGTCAGGGTCCAGAATAAAAGCTGCCAATAACGCGAATAAAAAAATTATCAAGAGATCAGGACGCCCACAACTTACTAGGTCTCCGCATATTCGAGATTTAATAATTGAAAAGAGTGCGAACCATTTGAAGAGCCCAACTCAGATCTCTCAAGAACTTGGTATTCCTAGACAGACAGTCTGTGGAATCATCAAGAGGTTCGAAAAGACGGGAACTATTGAGTACCAGTCATTAGGTGGTGATCTTAGAAGTATCATCCAGGACCATCACCGTCAATTTATTATTAATGCTGTCGATGAAAACAATACCATCACACTAGAGGAGTTAAAAACCAAACTTTTAGAAGAGTTTGACGACATTCATAGCATTAGTACGTCCACTCTGTGCAATTTTTTAAATAATGTTGAAAGGATTACACTAAAGGGGTCGACTGCAATGGAAGAGAAGAGAAATTATGAAGAGACTCGTCGCAAAAGAAAAAAATTCATATCAAGCCTTCTACGTGAGGGGATTTTGTACAATCAGAATTGTATTTTTATCGGCGAGGCAGACTTCAATATATCCATGATTAAAGGCCGTTCTCGATCAAAAGCTGGCTTACCAGCTTTCGTTAAAACCAAAACCAAGAGAGCAACAAGCGTGACAATGTTATTTGCTCTTTCAGCAGAAGGCGTTGAATCCTGCCACGCAAGAGTTGTGAAAGATGATACTACAGGTAAGGACTCAAAGAAGCTATGTAAAGCATATTTCTATCTACGCTTTTTCTGTCATAGCTGTAACTAAACTTAATGCTTTACAGGCCTAATTTTTAAAGAGTTTGTCCAGCAGTTAGTCAAGAAGCTGGATAATGCGAATTCTGGTCCTTGCCACTTAGTCATGGATAATGTTAGGATTCACTGTAATCTATCTCTTCGCAACTGGCTGCAAAAAAGGAACAAGCACAAACTCAAGCCTCTTCCCCCTTACTCTTCTTTCTTGAATCCTGTTGAGGAATGCTTTTCAAAGCTAAAAAACTTTGTCAAGAAGCACCCTTTGGATAGCGAAGAAACTTTGTGCGAGAGAATAAAGTCTAGTAGCTATGAAATAACTAGGCAGGATTGCGAAGGTTGGATTAGACATTCAATCTCGTTTCATCAAAAGTGTTTAGACATGGAAATAAATATTTGATTTTTTATTTTATTTTGAAATATCCCCATTTCGATACTTGAACTGTGTCCATTTAATTTTCATCAAAACGCGAAAGTTTGCAAAAAAAAGTAATAAAAAATGATAATCTACCAGCCGATTTTATTGAATTCTAGGACTCGTACAGACAAAATAATACAAATGTCTCTTATGATACAAAATTACAAAAAAGGTGCGAGTCAGTGCATATCCGAAGCGTTCAAGGAGCTGTCGACGTGTTATCAAAATCACATCGTAGAAATGTTCGAGGGTTGACTTGAACGTTATTTCAGATACACGCTGAAGAACATACTAAAGGTTGTAAGCTATCATGTCCAAAATGTTTTTAAAGATACGACTCATAGCTTACTTTTGTAAAATATAGAATGCCAATAATAGTGAGATCAACAAATTAGCCAAATGTTATTTTTATCAATTATGCTGTGGCGGAACCTTTGGATGGCCAGAAGTGAATTTAACAGGCAACAAAAAATTGTCAATCACAAGAGTTTGTCAAGGTTCAAAAAGCCTACTCCCAAGAAAGGTTATATTGGCATCTTTGTCTAGAAATCCAGAAAATTATATTCAAGATCTAGCCCACATTTTATGAGAATAAAAAAAACGAATTACCAAGGCTATTCAGCTTAAAACATCTTCAGCAGTCGACTTTAACTCCACTTTTATCTTAAATGTGAATATTTAGTTAACAAGAAGATAAAATTGATTGATGAAAATGCTCTCGAAATTTATTTAAAAAGGTAAATTGAACTGCTGGGAAAAGTTACCTTTTCTTTAGCTAAAGTGGAGGCGTTTGGCTTTAGATAAATTAAAAAGTTAACTCACTGCTAAATATGCTCTTAGTATTTGTCTATTAAAACAATTGGATATTGCTTTCTCTCTAAACTTGTTAGTCAATAGAACCAAGTTGAACTATAAAATTTCCAAGAAAGCTTCATATATTTATAATGCTAAAATACAATTTTGCGCGTAAATTTTATGCTATAAATTCACTAAAGCGAAGATCAGACTCTTCACAAAGCCAATTCATCCATCTTTTGAGGAATCCTCCGTCTGGTCGAGATCCTGCCTGGCTTCCTCCTTTAGATCCAGCCAGTGTCTCGGAATCACATATGACACATAGATGTCGCTTTGCTCTTGTCATTGCCACTAACATATAGAGAAATAACATAATTAATATGTACAGCTCAAAGTATCAATATATATATATATATCATAAAACATTACTTACCATTCAACCGTCTCTTCTCAGCAAGAAAACCGACCTCACAATCGTCATTGGATCGAACCAAAGAAAGCAAAATAGCTTCCTTCTCACGGCCTTGGAATCCATCAACAGTTCCGATTTCAATTAACGGCCATTTCTCCCGAATTTCACGTATTAATCTAGTAACCTGTGCAGAATAAGGCGTGATGATGCCAATTTGTTCTTGCTGCAACCCATCCTCCAACAGACTTTGCACATGGATAGCTGCTAGCTCGACCTCTCTTTCGTTTGCCTTACTTTGTTCTTCTTTAGCTTCATCTGTAATTTCATGTGCAAGTCCTGTATCGCTGGTATCAATCATGACAATCGGGACTTCTGTGTTATCTGAGCTTTCGATTCCTGGAAGATCCACCAACAAATGTCCCGCTACACTCTTGTCTGCAACCAGATTGTTTCCATAGAGCTCTTTTGAGCTAAATTCCATGATTTTTTGATGCATACGATACTGTACAAGCAACATCCGTTTCACGCTGTTTCCGTACATTCCTAACATTCGATCGAATAAGGTAGTCGACAGATCGGTCTTTGTTGAAAGCCCCTTTGCCGACGGTTTACTTCCTAGTTTTATGGGAGTCTTGATTGTAGGTGGTAGCTGAAGGTGATCTCCTGCCTGTAGACACATATTTGTATGAATAGATAATAATAAATATATGAATGAATTATACTATTTAATAGCCAGTCTTACCAAAATTGCCTTTTTTCCTTTGGAAAGAGCAATCCAACATTCGGCTAAGTAAATAAACAAAGAGTGATTAGCCAAAAACAATACTCGATTTATTTGTACGCACACCAGTATTACCAGTACATACCTTCCAAAGCTTGTGTAGCTTCGTCAATAATAACAACATCAAACTCTCGCTTGAACATATTACGGCTTCCACAACTGTACCCTTTATATTAGTTTTCTTCTTTTTCTCTTCCTGGTTATACAGCTCATACCAATATTATAAAAGTATGACTTACCCATTTAGTGTTGATATCAAGACTTCTGCTCCTGACATGACTTCATCTACAACTTTACGCTCTCTGACTTTATAATCCTTACGAAGGTCTTTAAGAAGACCGTAGAGAATTCTACGTTCAGAACGATTTTTTGATTTTGAAATTTTTGCAAGAGTCTCATCCATCTCACGACGAACATCTGCGACAATCTGACCAGAGTCGCATGTTTTGGTGATTATATCAAGAGAATGCTCCAAAACTGTGGGAAGGATCCGTGCAGGGTGTCCTACTCGTACAAGGTTCATTCGGTGACGTGCCAGCCGTTCAACGAGATTATCTATTCCCAGAAGTATATAATTTGAATTAATGAAATGTTTTTTGCTAATATGCTCACAAACATTTATGACTTTACCAACAGAGATATTAGAGGGTCCACACACAAGAACCTTTTTGTTTTCCTTAATTGCAAGTTGACGAATGATTTCCACAAGTGTATAGGTCTTTCCGGTCTGTTTGTAAAGTTAGCTTTAAACATGTATTCACCAAGTGCAACGGTATTTATATGATCTTAAGACTAACCCCTATATAGAGCATGTTATAAATACAATTGTTCTTATTGAATTGAACAAACAAAAGTGCTTACCTGGTGGACCATGAACAAGGGCAATCTCAGGTGAGCCTAGGGCAAAACGGACAGCATCTTTCTGCGACTCGTTGAGTGTATCATCAAAGAATTCAAGATCAGAGTAATCTTCCGGTGCGGATGGTTTACGAAGCCCCAATAGAGTTTGGGCAAGACCAGAAACTGCGGTCTCACCCTGATTTTTTAATCTTTCTAATGCTTTGATCATACTTCTTCAATATTAATTGTCTGTTCACTATGGGAGTTTCTGTGTGTTTATTTTAGTTACCGTTCATAAGTAACACTATTGGCCAACTTGACACTAGTTCAGAAAATATTGTTAATATCTTATACACATACACTAATATATCAAGTTAAGTAGCTTGCATTTGACAGCGTTCTTGGATTTCAGGAGGGAGTTCATCATCCGTGTCCTGGGATAGAGCAATAGTCACTTTGGAATCAGTTACTCTCAAAACAACACCAGACCATTGCGCCGATTGTTTTGAAGGCTTGTCTTTTTTATATTCATCCAATCCGACAATATCACCCGTAGAGATTTTGTGGGCAGGTAATACAGGTGGAAGCTTGATTGGGTTTGCAAGTTCAAGATCAATTAAACTATTTCATTAGAATGAGATGTTATGCAAGATCTATATGATTCTTTGTGGATGTATATATACACACACCTTTTACCACCCAAACCAGTTCGCATTCCTTTTTTATCATTTATTATTATTATTTAATAGTTTTTTTTTGGTTATTAAGAAAAAGTTGAAATCAATATAATGATCAACCGCGTCTTTTGAATAACTATGCTTAAAACCGACCCGTAACCTTGAGACCAATCAAGGCAAGTCCGCGTTTTTGAAGTTGGAGTGGTGTGTACGTGGATAAAAGTTTCGACGTTTCTTCGACATCAATGGTCTTTTCTTGTTGTATCAGGCTAATCTGATGATCGATGAATTTCTCCATTAGAGGTTTTTCGTTGTGCTGAAGATTGAGCTTAAGCTCCAGATTTTAATTCTTGACTTAAGCTTTTAAAAGTTATCTATATTTGGATGATTGTGTAATATAAATTTTATGTAACCCTTTTTTGGGGTAATGATTAATTACAACATTTTGATGAACTAGGCTGAATACTGGGAAGAGAAATACAAAGGAGCGCCAGTTTTTATGCTATAAAAAGGTAATTAAGGTGTTTATTTTGCTATATTATGGGGATTGCTCTTCTTTCCACTGAGAAATCCACATTGACATGTACTCTACTGAGGGAAGAGGCTCATCTAATGTACTAATTTTTCCTCCGTTAGATTCTGTGGTGACAGTATGGTAGAAGTTCTTATAATTTTCGAGAATATTCAACTAGAAAAAGTGGCCAGTAAGTAAAAAAGATAAAATAAAAAAGGGCTCGATATATATATATATATATATACATACTTCAATCGGTCTTATCAAAATTTGTTCCATCTTGTAATCGTTGACATATTCACGGAGTTTTCTTAATACAAAGCGTATTCTTTCTTCGGCTGACTCTTTAAATTGTTCTACTGTGCTTTGTACGTCTTCTATAAAACATATGCTGGTTTAAAGTATGTTCTTGAGAATAAAAGCTTGTACGTACCTTGGCTCAATGTCTTTGCACGAGGAGATCCATTTTCATCGGGAGAGCTTTCGCCCACAGGCCTCATTGTAGACAACTTTTTGTATATTCGAAACACTATAAGCTCTCCAATAGCCTTTTTCTTTTACGTTTTCTTTACCTTAATCATAAAAACTGTCAATGGATCTACTGCTGTGCTTACACAGTCAGTAATGAACTCTTCGCATACGTCTTTTAGCTTGAAGTTGACTTCTCGTCTGGAGTCTAGACTAATTTCAACAATTCTAGGCATGCCACTCTGAGCCAACCCAATCAAGGTGTTTGGATTAAAAAAGAACGACCTATTTTGTTGCAAGGAGCTTAGAGCACCTTGATTTTATTTTATTTTTATTTTTAAGATTAATGTGTAATTTACTTTACTTTACTTTACTTTAAGAAGACTTACCTGTTGTAGGAAAAAACGATAGTTCCTTTCCTGTGTGTACTAGCTCGGCTTCAAAGGGGGCAAGTTGTTCTTTAAGGACTAAAAGATGTTTTATCAAGAAGAGCTGTCCGTCCAAAGCAGACTACAAAAACACACGGACACATATATAAGTAAACTTATTTTTAAAAGGTCACTTCAAATTTGATAGATTTCCCTACTTTTGTGTTTGTGATAATATCAGATGCCCTTTTTAATGACTCACTGCACAGTGATACGGCTTCTTGGGCAAGATCTTCAAATACACCTGTCTAAGAAACACGCATTTGTATACTATAAGCTCTTGTTCCAAACTTGGTCGGGTACATTGAATATAAAGGGTTCTTACTTGTACACAACGATAAAGTTTTGAAAGGATCCAAAGTGTGTTTTGTAAGGCAGGATACCACCTTCGAGTAACATGGGGTGTATCATCCGTTAGTTCGGACATTTGAAGCAAAGAAGCTTCTACAGATGATCCCTTTGAGTGTGTATCAGAGGCATCATCTTCGATGTTCAAAGTGGCTGGAGTACCAGCAATAGCATTCAATTCCGGCTGACCGGGTGTAACTGGGTCTAATATAACAGATCCCTTTGTATTGTCTACATATATATAATATTAGGGCGGATGAGTATCTAGTAGTAAGATAGTGTTTTAGTAATACTATCTTTACTAGCGCACCTATCGATTTAGAAAGTTCAAAATCTTCTGGTTTTGGATGATAGCTTTGAATATCTTGATGAATAAAACTTTGTGCTCTGAATACCAGTTTTCCTTGAGCATCCTCCAATACATTGCGAATAAGATTTCCAAACATTAGACGATGACCGCCCTCACGTTCGTCTCCTAAAAAAACAACTTCTTCTTGAATAAAACTTATCCTCTCTTATTATCTCTTATCTTTACAGTAATGTTCTTTTGTACCAGTTTGATAATCGTCTTGCATGATATAAACCTGAAATATGCCACATAGCTCTGATAGAGTCTCTATTCTATTTTCATGAATAATTCTGGGGCGCAAATGATCATAAAGATAGCTTGTCAGCTCGTCTAGATAGGCGCTGTTCGCAATGTTTGTATTTTAGAGCACGTTGGGATTAATGGCTTGGATCAATAAACTTACTATAGATCTTCTTCTCCAGAAGGGAACATATTGTAAAACAAGTTAAACTCATCAGAGCAAAGGGTCATCATATAAGCACATCCGTTTTGTGCCTATACCAAAATACAATCCGTATATAATATATTTGAGTTAAATTATACTATTATATTATATTATATTAAGCTTCATGAACATATTAAACTTACAAACTGAACCAGCTCTCCACCACTGGGCCCAAGTTGCTGGATCTTTCGTGAAATTACTGGGCTTAACAGCTGTTGTCTTGTTTGGAAATAGGCGCTCAATATATCTTGATAAAGGGCTTGATATCTATTTTGAACTTACAGGTTATTAATGCGTTCGCGTACAAAGTTTACTTATATGTGTATTGACTATAGTACATCAACTTACTCTTTGTGGCCTTGGCAGCGTTTTTCAAGCTGACCTGTCAAAGTTTTGATGGTAGGGGCAATTGCTCTGAATTTTACGTAAAAGAGGTTTGTCTGTTTACCAAAATTTGTAGAAGTGTCGTTGGTCTTTTGGACCAGTGAGTATACACTTTGTTTTTTTGCAATGACATTATCATTGTTATTAATTATTACCTTTGGCGACATCTGTTTATACATTTCATAGCCAACTGCTTTAATTGTTGAAACAGCATACATCTTGATCAGGGTCATTCCTCTTGTCATACACTGTCTGAAGCGCATAAGATAAAGCTCGGAGTCACGATAGCTCACCTAGAGACGCATGTATTTTTACTTTAGTTGTCACTTTTCATAATATCAATATTAAGAAGAACTGTTATATAGCTGAATACATACATGCTGTTGCATATATTCAATGCATTCGTCCAATGTCTGTAGCATCCCTATAAATTCGGGTCTCAGACAAATATCATCTCCAGGAGAGTTGAATAATTTTGCAATAGGTTCGAGATGGTTGAAATAAGCAAGTCTCTCAGCAAGTGCGTCTGCAAGATGTGTAAGACGATCCTAGGTGGGCATATTTAAATCTTCTGTCTCTCGCTCATCTAGCATATCATACCTGTTCCTGTAATAGCTCCTCGCAGGTGGTTTGCAAAGCACGAGTCCTTTGTTCTACAAATGCATATTCATCCCCGAGCTCGCCAAATACACCCAGTGTACCATGCAAATCTTCAAGGAAATTATCACATGCCTCTCGATACAGAACCACTACAGAAAGATAATTTCTATCATGTATATTTAAACTTATGTTCTAGACAATTTATATACTTTTTTTGCATGAACTTACCGGTAGATGTCTTCTTGGTCTTTTTCCATTTCAGACTCTCTTGTGGCAAACCAATCAAAAAACTGTTGTAACGTCTCAATAGGTTTATTTGATCCAATCTCTTGGGCAGATCTTTGTTCTGCAGCATAATCTGCAGCAGTCGTTTCAGCCAAAAGGTTGATAGCTGATCTTGAGCGCGGTGAAAGTGCACTTAATCTACTAGACAAGGCTCCGGCATTCAGGGGACTTAGTGTCGGTGTGGATGAGAATGATTCCGGGGTACGAACTCCTGATGAATGATTCAGGGCGAGCGATGGAGAGGTGGATGTGGCTGTGAGATGCTGTTTTTTAACATTGTAAGGAATGAATGGCATGAGTATTTTACATTGCCCTTTTAGTTTCACTTTCTCTTTTTAAAATGTATTCATTCATTTTATTTTATTTATTTCTATTGTATTAGCATTTGAATGCATAAGAAAAGCCATACCCAGTTGGTAGGTAAGGGTAGTTCTAAGCATGCTTCCTGAAGTTCGTATACAACTTGTTGCTCTTTCTGGCTTAGTTGAGTTTTCTCTTCCCAGTCTTCAAGGGAGATTCCACGCGTAACTCTTGCCATTGCTGGGAGTAGCTTATGTCTTTCTCTTGGTCTTTCTCTTTCCCTCTTTCTCTTTCTCTCTTTTTACTGCCCTTCTGTCTGTGAAATCAGTCCAGTAACTGCCATATCGGTTAAAGTTGTGACTGTCAGGACCAAATCGGCCACAATCGACTTTTCATTTTGTGTGCAGTATGTGAGTGTGCGATTTTGGAAAGGGTGTGTATTTTTATCAACCTGTAGATAACAGTTTTCTAAATAAAAATAGCTTTTTAGATGCTTTAGACTTTATAACTTCTTTAATTTCATTAAAATGTCTCGGGTGAGCTAAATAGAAGACGATTGGTGTGTTTCTTGTTGGGTAGCCAACTGAGCTCTGTTTGTTCTATTTTGACACTTCAACGATACAGGATTGGAAGAGTACTATTATTACTAATGATATAGTGGCGAACTCATAGCTATGATATTAAGTTCAATAAATTATCTAACTATAGTATGTCTTGTGTGATACACTTTACCTGTACTATACACTTTATTTTAGCAAAGCTTAAGATGATGATCATTGCTTAGAATCAAATTTTTCTGATTTTCCCTCTGTCTCGAGACTCTTTTAAAAATACTAATTTTATATTGTATTCTGTTTACTGTATAAAATTCACGTCTACCAAAGCATTTTTATCACGAATGTTGCCATGTTCCTGTTTACTTTCTTAGCTTGACTTTTTTATATATATATAAGAGGGAAAAAAGAATAATACTAAAACTAAAACTAACCACTCATAGTAATATGTATATTTGTACAATATATTTGACTGAAACTTACTCTTCATTTTTTATATATTAGCCTATTGATAATAAACATGCTATAGATAACACATTATGGAAAATTAGTAACGGTTATGATGGCAGTTTTGAAAAAAAAACTGGCTATGATATTATCATCTTTAATAAAAATGCCACTCATTTCCCCCAGTAATATGGTTAATATATATATATAATATGCTTATCTTCCACGTTTAAAGAATCGACACTGTAATTAACCTGAGTACTAAGCAATGCCTGCATTATCCAACTTTATCGCATTTGTTGTAAGAAAGATGTATTATAATGGTGTTTGTTTTTTCCACAGATTAAATCTGAAATAGCAAATTATTACTTTTACACGAAAAAATAAATAAAATTGGTTAATAATTATAATCAGTCACCTCGACTACATTCATGTATATCACAACAATTGATATATCGTATTGTACCAATATCTACATATATATATACGTTGATCTAGTATTGACCATCGCTTATACCTATAGCTTATTATTCAGGAGATATATATATATAATATACATCAGATAAAATAAACGTACACATGTAGGTATCTTCTGAATAGAACCTGACCATACTCAAACCCAGATAGCGCAGTTATTAACGAGTACATAGTGTACTAGTGTATTAAATCTGAATACTAAACGTCTTATTTTTTTATTTTTTTATTTATTTGAATAAAGAAACACTGAAAGATACAATGTCAAAACTGGAATGATCTGATATCCATAAAAAGATTTACTTTGAATTTATTAATATCTAAAATATTTGGTATAAATATTCTTCAGAATCGTTATCGATATCCTTCATCTTCCTCTTACTTCATTACAAGCTTTTATAAATGAAACTCATTCAGGCTCTACTTATATTTTCCCTATGCATAGCTGCTGCAACAGCAGCTTCTATCCAGCCTCGCGCTGAGCTTGGAGAGGCATTGATGATGTATGGCTACAATCCTCCTCGAAAGAATCCAGACTATTGTATTGGTAAAGTAACTCATTTGTTATTATAATTACATTCACTAATATCTACATCTACATCTACATATATATCCATATCTATATTTTGTATCAGGCTTCCGAATTACATACCCTACTTATCCAGGTTTGGCCTTTGAGGCTGGGTCTATTCAGCAAGTCGCTTGGGAAGTTGACAAGGACATCCCTCACTCTCCAAACATCATTACCCGTATTCGTATCATCAACAGCACCCAACACAATCAGTTTGTCATTGCTGAAAACATTAGTAAGTCAATATACTATTCTCACCAAAATTTAGCATGACTTTTGATCTGATTTTCTAATTTAATTGACATTCCTTAGCTATGTACAATAATGAAGAGAAGGACAATGTTGGAGAAGTTGGATTCCGCATTGGCGTTGAAGACAACACTGGCCTTTACCATTACAGAATTATGGCCAATTATCCTGTAAGATAGTCGTCTAAAAAATCGTCTCTCGATCAATGTAATCGTGCTTATTTACATCATTGTTTAGGGTACAACTGTCCACTGCGTCTATGAGTCCGTTCCGTTCATGATCATCCAAAACCCTTACAAGAAGCACAACACTGTTGGCCCTGCTTATGTTGCACCCAAGACTGACAGTGCTATTATTTGGCCACCATCTGAGGTTGAGAACCAGAAGCGACTAGCAGCAGGTGGAGAACCTATCCTTTAGATTCCCACCTTCATTTGATCGCATTGATCTTTGTGTTGTATTATCCATACCCCTTTTATTGTGTTTCTCCTCTTTCTATCAATATATCACTCTCATTATAATAATATAAGAATTAGCTTACCATTATAAAATTAAATACAGACATTTTGAAACACTGGATACAAATACACTTTCCAACCATCATCATTATTATTATTATATAAGATATCTATCAACTTACATTTCTCGATACATTATATTTCCAAAGAAAATACGTATTTCATTTTCAATATCGACTAGCCCTCGTTTATAGATATCGAATTACTATCCCTTGGCACTATATAAGCTATGTTCTTAAAAGTCGTAACTAACCTGCTATGTAGCTATGGTGATATATCATTTACAAAAGACAAATAAAAACTTGTATACTACAAGAAAATGCAGATAAATGTTATAGAATCGAAAATCAAACAATATTTCATTTTCATGTAATCCTTACTACAAGTTATAGCAGTTGTTTAATAAACATCCTATCCCTTTATAGAGCCCACCTTCTCCCTATACCTCTTCTTCCTCTGGGTGCTTGGCTACAGACAGTAGTTAGCTATTAAACAACAAGTCGGCTACTTTATTTAAAGTACTGAGCATAACCTGGTTGGGTGCTTTTGTAACTTTAATATACATATATAAGCTATTTGGTGCCTGTAGTTATTAGAAACCCCATATTTTACAAGATTATCCAGTCGATTAATAAATTTGTAAATCGTATAGGGCATTTGGACTTATTATTCGATATATTCGAGAAAATATAATGGTTTTCAACTTTACACATCTTGACATTCTTCAACTGTATTTGAAGATCACTTTTTGGTTTTGGGCACTATATACTCATGCGTCTGCACCTTTTTGTCTAAGTGTAGTGTGTGTGTGTGTGTGTCTACACACGTCCACTTTACGTATTTGTTTATTTATTTATTTATAGGGTATATTACATTAAAGCAGTACGAGAAAAATAAGGGGTTTGAACATAAACAGGATCATCGTCATTAATATGTTGTACTTTAAATAAATGAGGGCTGGCGTGGCCTATTCTTGTTTATGGGGTACCGTTCCGTAACTGGTACATTAAATTTTCATATATTAAGCAGACAGACCGCCACATCAAAATGTAACAGCAATTGATATTTGGTTCAACTTGAAAATAACGAGTTTCATATCAGGGATTCTTACTGAAGTAATTGATATTCGACTATTCACCTGCATTGTAGTATATAGTGCCTAATTATCCAAACTTTCTAAATAAAAGAGAATTCTTTTGGGACTACATGAACGCTATTTATTTATATCCCTTTCTTTTCTGGACTGTCCCTCTTGCTTCCTAGCAACTCTATTTATTTATTTTAAAAAAAATATATATCTCACAGACTCGGGTTACGTTCTAAAACACTATTACAGCATGTATATTTTTTTGTCTCGGGGTATGTCCTAATTTGAACTTGTGTCTTTGATACCGTATAATGGATCAGTCTCAACTACCAGAATAACAGTATTGTATTCTCCTTCACTGTTAATGTTTCTTTTAACTCTAATCATTTCAAAAAAGAATAGTCAATGGTCACTACATGATACTTTATTAAAATAATTTAAATGTACACCATAGCATTTTCACTGTCAATTACCTTTTTTTTTGGGTGTATAGCATAGGACTGAAAATGCATGTCTATACTGATGTGTATAGGAGGTTATAAACCAAAAAGACTTTTTTTTTTCTGTCTACAATGTACCTTTGATACCACATAAAGATATATATATATATTCCTGTCACTCAGATCCAGGATTCACTTGTTAAATGTTCTTTGTCAAACACAGTACAGTGGGTATTTCCGAGTCTGCTCTTAATCCCAGGACATCATTAAAGAAGTTCTCTGAATTTATTATACCACTTACTTTCCAAGATACTTGCCAGTAACACAGGTTCCACTACTTACATCATATGTGTGGTTTTTTCTTTTCTCTAGTTATAGTCTCGGCCTTTCTCATTTTGTCATATGTATTTTATTGTATCACTATTATTATTTCAAGAGAAAATTATGTTTGTTTACCATGAATTACAATAGACTTCCGTGGCGTTCTCCGGTTACAAACACCTCATGACTTCTTGTACTTCTACAATATAATTACCCCTTTCATGACATTTTAGAGCGTCTATTAAAGATACTTTTGGTATAAATCTGTGCCACAAAATTATCGTATAGTCTTGAAATATAGCGTATCAACAATCAACAGTCTTTCCATCTCTTTCTTTGTTTTTACATACAAATCAAAAATCAAAAGAAAAATCGAGATCTTATTTTGAGCTGACCATATACTTTTATTTTTATTTTTATGCTAATACTAGTCTACTCTTGTCGGTTTATCTAATATAATAACTCTTTATTCTTTATAACAATAACAAGAGAATTGAGCAAACTGGCAAACATATGGAGCCCTGATCCTCTATGGCGGCTCATTCATCGCTGCTACTATGACCGCTAAATCTGTACCTTAAATAGTGCTGAATATTACAAGTATATACCCTTCTTCTAGTTTCTCTTTTCCTGCTCCCTTTATTATATGTTCAAGTATGCTTTGTTTCATATAAAGTACATTTCATAAGATTTATACTTGAATCACATAAAAGTGTGTTTGAATACGCTCAAGATATTTCTGGAATTTGATTATTATTTGTGGTATGATTAATATATTTATTTTTTGATAAAAGGTAAACTTTTGATTAAACGCTTTTACACAATTGAAACATCTATACTCTGGTGTAACAATCTGCATAGAAAATTCAGCTGGTAGAGAAATACACCAGCTAGTTTTGTAAAGGCTAAACGGAGAGCGTCTTTGAACCAAAAAGAAATCCCAAGTGTTGTGAATATTGGTAGGGATATGGAATTGATGAAATAGCAAGCCTTCTGAATCATCTACAAGGATGTTATATCAAATGCTTGAATCAGTACCCAGAAGACTGTTGAGTTTTGTCTACATTTGATGTTATTCGATTATCGGGTTTAATACTAGGTATGGTTTAACTTGTGCTGTATTAGTCTAGTCTATATATTACAATAAAACATTACATAATAATATAATACGCCCAGGAAGTCAATAAACATCGTTTAATGGTCCTTGCTTGACACTGTACTTCAATCCACCTAAACCTATTAATGTGATCCTGAACTGTCAATAAAGCATACTTTCCTTCTATCTTACAAGACATATTCCCAACTCTACACTGCTCTATGTACTCCTCGATAAAATCATTCTAAAATCGTTGTTTTTTTTTTAAAAAAAAAAGAGTATTGCTTATTTTATTTTGTACAAAGTGTCGATACTTTCTCTCATTTTACATGGATTTTTCTTTTCTTTTAAAGAAAAATACTTAGTAAAGTTCACATTCTACCAAGTACCATCTCTGGTTACTGGCAACTTCACCCTCACGCTTTCCGTAGAGAATTACAGGAACACCATCATCATCCTCACCGCCAGCAATGTCCAAGACCAAGTCGGGTCTAGCATCACAGAAGATATAACCCTCTTCATCAATAGACCAGCGCTGGTTTGCGGCCTCTTCCGGCTGCTTCTGTTGCCACTGGCATATTTGGGACTCCTCGTTCATCTCACCACCACGGATATCAAGAGCCTTGGCAGATTTGGCATTAATAAAGTAACCGTCTTCATAGCGCCACAGCTGGTTCAAGCAATCCTCGGATTTTTGAGTATAGACAATGATGGTGGCATCATCCTATAATGATTATGATTATGATTATGATAACTATTATTGTGTGCTCTAAAGTATTCCTAGTAAGATTATTTCCTTACCTCAGTGGAACCTTCCTCGACATCGATGACACGGCCGTTAAAGTGGCTTTTGATAAAGTAAAGGGGTCCGTAAGTCATATTGCTTTTTTTTTGAAAAGAAGATGTTTAATTGAATATTTAGCTGGGAATAACTGTGTATTTATAGTTTACAAACAAAAAGGGAATATAGAATGAACGCCAAGTAAAAGCTTGATGATGTGTATTCGTCCCCGTCATCCGAGATCTGACTTGTAAAACAGACAATGTTTCTATTGCCTCCGCATTAAAGTTTGTATTTCTGTTACAAGAATGACTTGGACATGTATCTAGTATGTAACTTTGATGGTCTTGGCTTATTAGACGCCGTCAAAGAGTCTGGATAAATGGCTCTTTGTACATGTATTAAGGTTTGGCTGTGTGTGACAGTGAGTTCAAATTTTATGCATTCGGTTGAAATGAATGACTCCTGAGTTCTACAAGTTTTATTTGGATCTTATTTTCATTTTATCCAAATGTGCTTTCGTTTAACCTTTATGCCCTATAATTAGAGAATTGATAAAGAATCTTAAGGCAGTATTTTATATATAGAGTGTTGTACGGTAGAAGGACTTAAAGAGCTGTTCAATTATAAGTGAGTGATTTAGAGGGGATTTAGTTTGTTACTTGTCATTTGTAGAACTAAAAAAGAAAATACAATGCCAGACAATATTCAACAATGCCATCTTGTCCATGTATTCAATGGCCTTTGAATCATTTGATTGTTCTATTGTTATTTTGACTCTAATAACGAGATATATAATAGTAGGTCATCATCTGTCTCCCTCTCTTTTTTCTTTTTTTTGGTGCAATTTATTAGTATACTCCATAAACATTGTGCTTATACATCAGACTTCTTTAGTTGATAGTATCAACATTAAATAATAGGATTAATGGATCTTATTAAACTTAGATTTCCTTGAATGTAGTCTCTCCATTTTTTGTAACTACTTCCAAAAGACTCCCGCTAGTCAAAGCAGCAGTTCCGGTTGCATATGCATACAATTGTCTATATACGCATATGACGATGAAAGAAAAGAAGAAGAAATGAATTAAAGTATTACCACAAGACAAAGATTACATTAATCAATATGACTTACTTTGCAACAGTCTCGGTAGGTGTCCAGGATGAAAAATCGGCTTTAGGCATTCCACTTCTGTTCATTGGAGTATCAAGAGTAACTCTATTTTTAAAAAAAAAATTCATTAGTATAAAGCATCAAAAAGAAACCATTTGGTATAACCAACTCACGGGCAGACAGCAGTAACTTTGGCATTGGGGGGTAAACCACTACCGGGACTAGCCAAGTCTTTTACAAGATGATGAACTGCAGCTTTAGCAACACCATAGCCGATCATGCCAGGAGTAGGGCCATTTGCGGCCAAGGCACCTGTCAATGTCAAAAGACCATCACTGCAAATTCATGAGTCAATTGTTATGATAATAGTAATGATAATAAAGAGAGAGAAATAATCATTCGTTATTGTACTAACCTTTCAAGATGACGAGCGGCTACCTGGGCAGCAATAAAAGAAGAGTAAACACTCTGCTTCCACATCAACTCAGAGTTGGCCAAAAAGTCTATGGCAGTAACCAAAATTAATTATTACTATTATTATTGTTATTGCTATTGCTATTGCTATTTTAAATACAAAACAGACAATAAAGAAAGAATCGATTGTCTAACAAGTCGTGATGTGATTTGAAAGCTAAAGGCAATAAAATAAGAAGGAAATAAAGAAAATCAGATATACCTTTGCTGGCAGCATTTCCACCTGCCCAACCACCTGCAACACACAAAATAGCTTTAAGTTTTTTGGCGCCTAGAAAACTGGCAAGGTTGTCCTGGACTTCTTTAGCTTGGTCTTGAAGTGTGGCATTAGGATTAACAATGGCATTGTGATCTGCACTGACATTCTCAACCAAGTCAATGCTAGTAACTGTCTGATAATTATAATAATAATAATTATAATAATAAAAATAAAAATAATAAGAATAAGAATATCAATATCAATATCAATATCAATAGTAACTCCCCTGAGCCCCACGTTTTTTATTTTATTTTATTTTTTGGTCTGCTATTTTCCCCTCATTTTTATTACAATTTATTTTATTTCAATTTGTGTCTATAAAAATTTACCCAGCCCTTTTCTTTAAAAAAGGTTACAACAGAGCGTCCAAGAGCACCAGCACCACCATATACGACAAGGTTACTCATATTATTAATTACTATTATTATTATTTATATATGAAAATAAAAGCAAAGAAAAGAGAGAGAGATAAAAGAGAAAAAAACAAAAGAGGGGTAAAAATGAAGAAAGGAGCGCGAAATCAAAACCGTGGGATTTTTTTTTTCTTTTGTGTTTTTTCGTTTGATTTCTCTATTCTCTCTTTATAATGTATATTTTTATGAAATTGAAACAGCTTGATAAAAAAATGATTATAGATATGTGTATGTAAATGCTCGTGTATATATATATATATATATTTATGAATGAGTTTTGTGAATGCGTGAATATTGGTGGGTGTGTAAGAATAACCAGGTCACCTGAATACTTGGCCATAGCTTAGACAATAGCCCTGATCGGGGTCTTCGGAAACCTTGCCGGTCGTTGGATCGACTCTAGCGACGTCACAAATCGCAATGGATTGTGAATAGGCCCAGGAAAATGGCAAGGGACGATATTTTAAAACCCCACGTGCAACGAGACCATAGGGATAACGAATGATACGAGACCTTGATGTGTTAGATTGTAATATGAAGGGTATGAATGAATATAACAAATAACAATAACAAACAAGTATGTGCATAACAATGATTTACCATCTTTCATTGCCGCTCTTATCTGCACCAGGGGACTTGATACGTATTTGTGTAATTGCCTTGGCTGTTAGCCTAGAGAAGTGGTCTGAAGGAAAAGCCAAGGCTTCATCAAAGTGATCACAGCTACCTAAGTATTCTGCAGGGTCCACACCTTTTGTTTTGTTTTGTTTTGTTTGTGTTTTGGTATTTATAAACCCCAAACTTATTAATACATGTCTTTATGTAAAATCCATAATCTATTCAAATATCCCCTTGTTTTATATATATATATATATGTGTGTGTGTGTGTGTGTGTGTTTGTTTGTTCTTGGATGTATTATAGACTTTACCATTAGGGTGTGCAGAAGTGTTGAATTGAAGCGGAACAACCTGACTAAAGGCAAATACACTAATATCTGCTTCTGCTACATGTACAGTCCACCAATTCCAATTATTGGCTTTTACATGTAGATCAAATATGAGCTCCTTATCTGAGGCAAGTACTCTTCCCATTTCAACTGCAATGCTCTCCAGAGGCTGAGCATGATACAATCCAAATACAATCAAGAAAATCAATACCCCAATCAAACAAGCAATAGTATCTCCAACCACACGCGAGCTATTGATTATCAATTATTATTATTTAAAGAAAAATGAAAAATAATAAAGAAAGAAAAGACACATATAGATGAGTAAGAAATATATCTTATCACTTTTTCTTTTCTTTTTGGAAATTTACCATGACTTTTGCTTGCGTAAAATTGGACGTCCCGGACGAAGGAGTGGAAGACCCTCGTCGTCACTTGTATATCCATCATTTGTGTAGGTAGAGTAAACACGCCGTGATGATCCACGCCGGCTATCTCCCTTAGTATACTGAGAAAATGAATCCATTGTCTTTGGTCGATGGTGAGGATGATCGACCACATAATTCCTAAGCTTCGGGCGGTGGTGATGATGCGAAGAGTCACGCCTGGTAGTAGAGTACGTATCTTCGTCTGCTGTCCAGTCATTGTTGGATGTTTTGTGAAACAACTGGTGGAGAAATCCAGTGGAGGTGGTTTGGAGACGAGGTGGGAGACTGTGTTCAGTGTTCGGCACAGGATTTGATCGGACGGATTGGGTACGGTAGAGTGATTGGCTGCGCGGGTCACCGAGATAATGGCAAGTGGTGTCTGTGGTATTCCCGTTACTGTATGGATACACATATCGCTCATTTTCATCCGAGTCTTCAACGTTGGAAACAGCGTCAACTAAATTCCGGTGGAAGACTTCGGATGGAGTGGCTGTTCCACTTAGTGGCGGCGGTGGCCGTCTTCGTTTTTTTGGTGCTGTGTAAGAAGGTCTCTGCTGCTGCTGCTGCTGGGGTTGTTGCGATTGCTGTGATTGTTGTTGCTGCTGAGGTTGTTGATGTTGATGTTGCTGTTGATGTTGCTGTTGCTGCTGAGGTTGTTGCTGCTGGGGTTGTTGTTGAAACTGTAGAAATTCACTTTCGGTTGACTTTGTTCGGTTGCCCTGAAGAGGAGACGGAATAGATTGGATGTCAGAACCAGCTGCTTGGAGGATAGGTGAAGAGGGAGCAAGGAGAGGAGGAAGAGGAGGAGTGGGAAGAAAGAGATCATGCGAGGAGTCGGTCGATGTCTGAAGTGAGAGTGGTGGGAGTGGCGGATTCGGTAGGGATGAGTTACCATTGCTGATGCTGTGATTTGGAGAATTGACTATTACTACCGCTGACTGAGGCTCAAACCGAGCCTTTTCTACGGTAAGATTGCGATCAAAGTTTGGTAATGGAAAATCCCGTCGAAGATTCTGATGAGGGTATTTGTCTGTGTGAATTGTGGAAAACTTGGCAAGGAATGGTCGTTTATGCTTTGGTAATCTGACTCCTTCTCCTGGCTGCGGTCCAGCCGCATGACCTTGGTCATCTGTACTCTCACTACCTATAACATCTTGTTCAGCCATTGAATAGCCGACCAGAATAAAGAGAAGAAAAGAAAAAAAAAGAATAGAAAGAGGAAGGAAAAGAAGGAAAAGGAGAAAGGAAATGGAAAGAGATGCTTGGTTTGTACCTCAGGATAGCTGTAAATATAGCTATATAGATAATATGTATATATATGTATGTATGTGTGTATATATATTTATATATATACAAATGTATACATGTATGTATTATATATAATCTTGATATATATCAAAATGAATGTCAAATCTTAAAGGCTTTATGTTTTGTTTTGATAATAGACCTTATCCATTAATCAAGTAGGTATCTTGGTCTATATATTAATTATAATAATTCTTTCTTTTTTTTCAATTTCACTCGAATACAGCTCTATCTTTATATAAATCTATCCGTGTTAATGAGAACCGGAAGGCCCTGTATCTGGAATCAAAATCTATTTACTTGGAAAATAATATAGATAAAGGTTTGTCTATTTAACTGGTATAGGACGTACTCCTTTAGTAATACAAAATGAAGTATATTTGAATGACTACTACCAAATAGATAATATTGTTAAAATAAACTTTTTTTTATAGGTAATTAAAATCCTGTTGTAGTACAAGGTAGATTATGAAGGTAAAAATGAACAGAAAAAAGAAAAGCTATCCTGGTCTTGAGAATTAGAAGGCTAATTACTTTGCTTTTCTTTTTGTTCCTTCAAATTATGAAATACAGGCAGTTCTTTTTTTTTTTACTGGTTATGTACAAGGAAATCGATCTGATGTTAGTTGCAGCCAATTGATCACGATTCCATCGCCTACTGCAGAATTACCACAAGAGTAGAGAATGTATATGGTGGCTGGGTGTGGCAATCTTGGTTGCTATGATTCTTACCTAGTAATTGGGACATATCTAGAAAGTAAAGTATCCAATCTTAAGATGTCCTGCTTACCTTGTCCAATGGCTTGTTGGAAGATTTTATCTTTCCTCCTTTGTTTGACAAGTATACTTACCTTAGACAGCTGCTGTAAATGGTCCACCGCAACATGCAACGATTATTGGGCAATCTGACTAGTTTTTCCCAGTCATTAGACATCAGATGGTCCATTTGATTCTTTGTTTTTTTTATAAAATATATATATATATATTAAGTCGCTTGATAAGCTCAGTCATTGTAATATATTTGTGTAATTTTTTTTTATTATGACTTAAAGGGATAGGAGTCTATACTATAGAAGGCTGTAATCTAGTTGTATTCCAAAATGCGGTGTCTATAAGAATTTATCAACGCCTTCATGGGAACCGTCTTGAGAGTAAGTGTGTGATTAATGTTGTATTTTGTGAAAAGATTTGTGATTGAGTTATTGACCATTTAACTTTGCTTTTGAACATATTTAGAATCATTATATATTTACTGCCATCTTTTTCTTATTACATCTTAATAGTCTGTTAGGAATATAGGCGCGCACAAACACAGCCTACTACTTCATAAACTCGATAGTCAGGGCTATAAGACCTATTTTGTATGACATTAATTCTACATAGTAAATTGTATTAGATCTTATGCTCTTTAGCTCAGATATATATATATATATTACGCTTTTTCGCCGTGTCTTTATAATATTTTTACCCTAATAAACATCGTCAAAGTAATTTACAAAAGTCATGAAATTAATCAATTTGTCAAATGAGAAAAAAAAATGTACCCTAATTGCTCTTCTCAAATGTAATATTATTGTTGGCATTGCAAAGATCACCGCCTTTGAGAATATATTAAAGTGTATTATTAACTACATTCTAGAAATTTGCAGAACAATTGGCTCTATTAATAATAAAACTCTCGAAGTGTCAGAATCACTGGTATACAAAGAAGAGCAAGAAATCAATTTTTTTTATATTTAAAGAAAAACCAAGACTTTTGAAGAAACGCACAGTATATATATTGGTACAAAAACAATTAGCAAACCCTTATACATAAAAGCACCAATTACTGCACGGCTTAAGTAAATTATACACTTATTTATAGCTAATTATTCAGGTACTGTTTAGGATGCCATAACATAAAAGAAAGGGGAAATTATTGTAGAAACGTTATATCTGATAACGAGCTCAAATTTCTTCATTTACCAAAGAATTGACCTGAACATAGTTGACACCAGTTAGAAGAAATGTATCCTTTTGACTGGCTATTCCTAAAAAGTGCGAATAAATGGGGGTTAAACTATAGTCAATAGATTTATTAATAAGTACTACGGTCCTTATTATTACACTTAATGACATCTTCAGACCCATAAGCTACGGGTAAAAAAAGAGATAGCGGTTTTATGGCGGCTCAACTGGCTGTTCAACCGACGGTTTCTGGCCTAATATTCATTCTACCCATCCTTGAGTTTGAATGATATTTTGTATCTTTACTATTCTCAGCTGTATTCTATTTTACATAACAGCCAATTATTTACACTACTAATACTGTTTAAGAATCTTGTAAAAAAAATAATAGCTATCTCTTACGATAGACACATGG